TGAGTTTATTGACTCTATGACCTTTTTCATAAGTCGAGACAGTAGTAGGGCACCGCATAGTTCAAGCCGTGGTAAAGACGGGGGTTTTCTTAATGGTGCGAGCTTAGTTTTTCCCGCCACCAGCGTGATAATTTGTTGCCCTTCTTCACTAATAGATTTACAGTAGATAACGCAGCCGTAGGCTTTCTCGGAGGCGTCACTGAATCCGTGTAACTCGATGGGCTGTTTAGTGTTACCAATCCAGCGTTGTAAAGCGATGGTATTGATAGTGGGCAATTCTTGTTGAAAGGTTGTCCACTCTTGTTGTATGTCTTCCGGAAGAGGTTCATCCCAATTTGTTGAAGCAAGCCAAGCTTGTTGAAATATGAGTTTTGCCTTCATTGTTACCGGAGACAGCCAACCAAGTGGGTCATATAATTTTGATAGATCAGAGAGCAATGTCCGCTTCGTTGTGACGTCACGTGTGTTACTAAGTGGCGCCTTGAATGTAAACTGATCAGTGTGCGGATTCCAGGTTAAGCCGAGTGTTTTGTTACTCTCTGCGTCCTTGAAGTCAAACATATTCTGGCTTATGAGATGTTCAGGTAAAGTTTGAAGCAATCTGGGGTGGTTACTAGCCCATTTGCGAAGATTGAACCCACCGCCTTTTAACAGGTCAATCAATTGGTTTTGAGCGTCTTGTGCTTCTAACATGTCGTTGCTGCCACCAAGTAGGTCATCCACATACAGCTGGTGAGTAAGGATCTCTGCCGCGAGAGGATAGCGGTGTCCATCGTCCATTACGAGTTGTATTATGGTGCGCATTGCCAAAAATGGTGCAGCTTTGGTACCATATGTTACAGTGCACAGTTGGTATTCTTTGATGAGATCTGTAGCAGAGTCACGCCATACAATTTTTTGCAGGTGTTGATCTTCATCGTGTATCAGTACTTGACGGTAAAACTTCTCAATGTCTGCAGTGTAGACGTATTGAAAGGCTCGCCAACGTAGAATCATAGATTGTAGGTCTTGTTGGAGGTTAGGCCCGCACTCCATGAGATCGTTCAAGCTTTGTCCTGTACTTGTCTTAGCAGAGGCATTAAAGACTACGCGCAATTTTGTAGTTGTTGAGTCCAGCTTTTGTACGCCGTGATGAGGTAAGAAGTAGCTTGGCTTATGGTGTTCAGTGCATGGCTTCATGTGGCCGAGTTGTAGATATTCGTCAATAAACTTCTTGTATGACGTAGAAAATGTTTCCTGTTTGGCCAATCGTTTTTCTAACTGCCGAAATTGTGCGATTGCCTGTGGCTTAGAAGTGCCCAAGGTTTGTTCGTAGTTTATTTTCATTGGAAGTCTGACTGCATATCGTCCGTCTTCTTTTCTTGTTGTTGTGGTTGAATAAATAGATTCACAGTATTCTTCCTCTGATGTTAGATTGTGATTGGTTTCGGTTATCTCCTCCATCTCCCAAAATCGAGATACATCGTCAAGATTAATGAGCACGTGGCAGTTGAAGGTTTTGATATTGCCCAGCAGTACCCAGCCCACTTTTGTCTGTTGAGCCATGGGTGCGTGTGAGGGTCCTCGTAGCATACCACTCATTACTATGTCAGCATACACTCCAGCGTCTAACAGAACGTCCACTGGTCTCGAGATGTTGAAGTCGGGATCCGCCAGTTGTATGTTCTGAATATGTGGCCAGTCTTGTTTTTCGAAGGTGTAATTAGGCAGGTTGCTGAGCATGTTGGCCATTACCATGGCTTCGATTGTAAATGAATGGCCTCCGTACAAAGACTCACAGTCTAACCGTACGGTTCCGTTGCTATGATGTGCTGACGTCCCTATGCCTGAGACTGTGGCGTTTCGATTTTGTCTTTGCAGTCCCAGCCGTTGCGCAGCATCTTCAGTTATTAGATTTATCTGTGATCCTTGGTCGAGAAGGCATCGCAATTGAACAGTCGATCCATCAGCTGCCATCACCTTTAATTGAACGGTCGCTAGTAGGACTTCGTTATAATTTCCAGACACGTGGTTTGCCTTTTGCTGTGACGTATGTGGCTTGTTGCTAGGTATAACGTTATTTGAGACCGCGATTTCAACTTTGCGGTAAATATCGTGCAATGTTGTGTGGTGTGCTTCTTTGCACACGCGGCATCTTTTGTTGGAGTTGCATTTATTGTCGTTGTGTAAGTACAGGCAATTGCGACAAATATGTAGTTGCGAAATTGACCTCATTTTGTCTTCCGGTGACATGTCTTGAAACGACTTGCAGTAGAGTAAAATATGATTGTTTTTACACAGTGGGCAATTTTTGTCTGTGCTTGTATGATATGCTCGAAGAAAACTACGCCTGTTGGTGTTGTTAAAGTCCTTCTTAAATTGAGCTGTTGCCTCCTTGTTGGTCGAATTGTTTGACTTGTTAGGTGTCTGTCTCTTCTTTTGAACAGGTTCAAGCGCAGTAAACTTGTTTTCCAAGAAGTTTATCAGCTCATCCAAGGAAGGTAGCTCTCTCGGAGCCTTTCTGATCTCCATGTAGGCTGCATACGTGTCGGAGTCCAATTTGCCAGTGAGAATGTGCACCAGGATCGGATCCCAAGTCGTTGTGTCGATGCCCAGATTGTGAATAGCATGTATGGTCTCGACACTTGTGTCATGTAGCTTCTTCAGCTCGTATGCATTCTGTGTTTGCAACGCCGGTTGTCCCATAAGGGTTTGTATATGTTTTGTAAACAAAAGTTGTCGGTTGTTGTACCTATGGGTGAGTATCTCCCAACAGGTGTCGTAATTATCAGCTGATACTGTAAGATGCTGTACGATGCGCTCCGCCTCGCCTTTAAGTTTGCCCTTGAGGTGCTGCATCTTTTGCGTTTTTGTCAACATGACATTGTTGTGGATGGCTTCACAGTAGAGGTTCATGAATGTAGGCCACTGGGTATAATTACCAGAAAAAGAAGGAATCTCAATTGTAGGCACTTGCTGATGCTGTTGAGATACTGAGTTAAGCTTACGATTCAAATCCCTTTTTGTAGTTTCGTACAAGGTTTCGTATGCAGAAAACTCTTCTTCGTAGCCTACATCACCGCCAGAAGTCAGGTTATCGATTTGCCAGTGGAGCTCGTCGATCAGTTTCCATCGAGACTGCAGCGAATTCAGTTTGTCACAAATTTCCCACTTTTCTGTCAACTCTTTGGTGTTGATGTTTTTAATCACCCTAGAGAGCGCCCGGAAATTAGTGCGTTGTTGGCTAATGAACTCATCAGACCTTGATGGTACTCCAGTTTCCGCAGTTTTCACCTCGTAGTTCGTCAGCATGTCACGAATCGCTTCGTACCGCTTCTTTGTGGTGGTGTAGGTATCATTGATGAAATAGTCGTCATCCAAGTCACTGTCTGTTTTTTTTAGAACACCATGATTCATGTTGAACACCTCCCATTGAGCATTCAAAGCATCCAACCTTTTCTGTATGTATGTTCCTGACTTACGTGAATCAGAATCCTTTTTGAAGTTAGCCTCAATTTTAAGGATAGATTCAATGATTGTTCTCTGTTGTTGAAGTAGGTTCTCCATGGTTTAAGAACGATGTTGTAAATAGTTGGTTTCAGATACGTGTGACTGCGACTCTTACCGTAGTATGCACCTCAATCAAGCTGGTGAGACCCGCTTGTGGGAGGCCAGCAACCAAAGTGACACTACAGATAGAATCACGAATTACTCTTTTTTTTTTTTTTTTTTTTTCAAATACACTTTACTGTTGAACTATTGTAGACGTAATATGCAAGTCTTAGTTCACGTCGAAAACTCGAAGGACCAAAATGTAGGGGGTATTTTGTGAATTGTGACCCTCTACATATAATTGATATGTAGTATATTAATGTAGGTTGTATCTTCTACATTACGGGATGTGGTAATTAAAACTGTGTCCGTTTCCGTAGAGAGCGTTTATTGTACTGAAAATACTTATGAATAAAAAATGTAATTATAGTGAACGTGTCGCGCGCGCAGGCGCGATATCAGCATTATTTTCTAAACTGTTGAAATATCATGTACTTGCTCGTACAGTTGTAAAGAAGGCAATGGTAGCTTACGCCCAATTTTCAACTTCAGACCTTTCAATACCCATGTAGCAACAAAACATTTCAAGTCGGTATCGCAAACAACTATCTCTGAATTCCTCAAGACAATAACTGGAAAACAAAAATAGATTTGTCACAAGCATATTTCCAGCTGTGCATAGCAGAGGCACATAGAAGATTTTTAAAGCGTAATTTACAACGGAGAGATCTTGCAACTCACTGCACTCCCCTTTGTACTATCTTCAGTTACTCCTTTGCAGCTATAACAAATTGGACTGCGGAAGTCCTACGGGCGCGAGGATTTCGGATTCGGTTAGTTAACCAGGACGGATTCAAGTTAAAGGTTCAGGTTGCGGATACAAAGAACTTCTTGAAACAACTGGGATAGCCTCTAAATTATTCTAAGTTGAACTTACAACCAATTCAGAGTCTACCAGAGAAAAAATTCTAAGCATACAGAAGATTTTCTCAGAAGCGTTACTTGATATTTTGTCTGATATATAAGTGAGGCTGTAAAAAACAAACAAACATTTTTACTTTTTTAATCATTTTCTACAAAGACATCTATTTATAAAAGATATCGCCTTACACAACCTCCGCCTTTGCCCTCTCAAATCGAACAGATTGTTTTCCTTTCCTTGTCCTTTCACTTCATCGTCCCTCTTGGTACTTCTCACATACTTATAACTCAGTCATAATATCTTTTCTTCCATACTATCATTACATCATTTCATTTAACACTTAATGATCTCAATCATACACCCTAAGTGTATGTGTTTTAATGTGTAGTTGAAAGTGAAGTTCAGTTTGTTTAAAACACACAGTTAAAAGTTGAATGAGTTACAGATAATAGTCGACCATTAGGCAACAACTAGTGTTTATAGTTGTCCGAGTGCGTGTGCGTGTACGTTCGTGTACTGTGCGAGTGCGTATGGTGCGTGCACGTACCAGTCCGGGCACGGGGAAGGCGGCGAGGCGTGAGATGGCGCGCGGGTGCGGGTAGCGCCAGGAGAGCGCGCCGGCCGCCGCCCGCACCTGGTACGCCAGCGGCAGCACGCCACCGCGCACGAGCTTGAACGCACCACTCCTGCTCATGCACGACAACACTCACTTATGGCAAAATACTAAAACGCTACTTCATTTTAAGATGTCGTTAAGTCTCGTGCTTTCTATATCATTATAAGTCAAAAGTGACTATAACACCACGAGACTTAACGACATCTTGAAATTGAGGAGCATTTGCGTATTTGGCTATCAATGTTAGTATAATTGTAGTAAAGTACTTAAGAGTATTCAGACCGTGAGAAGTGATTTGCCTTATGCCAGATTCCATAAAATGATTAATGGTACAGCGATCCAGTTGACATTCACGTTGATTCACTGAGCATATTCTCTAAGTCTATCCGTAAAAGTATAAGTCAAAAGCGTAAAGTCAAAACGGATTTATTTATATAATACCATGCTGTAGCTACGTGTGTTTGTCAGAGAACTTCTAAACGACTGAGCCGATTTTGATTCAACTTTTGTATGTGTTTGAGTAGATGTCCTGAATGGTTCAAATTCACAATTGGACCCGGCAGGTAGCGCTGATGTCGAGATCCAGAAATAACATGTGCTTAGCCAACTCGAACAACAACAAAAAAAACAATAATTATTATGGCAATAAATCCAATAATTCAGCACTGTAAATTATTCATTGAATTCTAGTACTGTATTGACAAATGCTGAAATGTTAAAGATTTCACTATCACGAAGCTGGCATGACTGATATCGAAATTATATTTTGAGTAATAAATTCAATTATGTAAATTACCCCTTCAAAAACAATGCTTTTAAAAGGGTTTGCGATTAGTAAAAGTGCTAATGAACATGTGTACATTTGTAAACATGCCAAACAACAAGTGGATAAATTAAAAATTTATACAATCAACTTCAACATAAATAAAATGAGAACTACATCAATGTAGCCGAAGTCAATTAAATACACATTATTAAGGATAACTAAAAAAAAACTACTGGTCGGATCTTAATCAAATTTATATGGGACCACATAAAGACACCAGCTTTCGAATAAGCATCATCAATATCGGTTCACCTAGATAAAAGTTCCAAGGTAACACACATTAAAAAAAAATACAGTCAAATTGACGACCTCGTTTTTTTTTATAGGATAGGGTGTCAATCGAGCACACAGTCCACCTGATGGTAAGTGGTTGCTGTGGCCCATAGACATCTACATCTATCCTCGATTACGAATCAAAATGCAGATGTGTTGTCACCCGTGAGGACTAAAATGGAATGCCTCGTTTCCAGTAAAATGGGTCGCCGGTTCTCTACACTCACCATACGAAAATACAGCAGCATTAAGCTACTGTTTCACGCTGGTATTCTATGAGAGCGTGGTCCTTCCCCGGTCGAGCCGACCCATTCCTGTTACAACTATACATCTAATATAACTGCAGCATGGCTCTACCACGTATAAACGTACCACGTATTTTTGAATTCGGTTAAAAATGAATAGACTGATTCATTGTTCTTTGTGATACAGATTGACTCAAAATTATTGATATAAAGGTCATAGAGAATTCGACAGCTTATTTGCGCCGCAACTAAATTATATACTGCGGCTGTGCATGCTGTCAGTGATGCCCTTTGTGATACAGAAGAGGGATAATAAGTTTAAGTATACACGAAATACGTTAACAATACAATTTTACAGTGCGTAGTCTATTCTTTTATAGTCTGATTTTTTTAATTTACCCTTGCGGAGACAAACTCAACATAATATAAAAATTCTGCACCTGAGATCGTCTTTATAATAGTGATCCGGAGCGTCTTCCAACGAGCTGCCTGACGTGGAAGAGAACGTAGCATCCGATTTGGGCGCTGCCCTTTCCGTCGTCTCGCTACTTGTAGCATCAGTAGATGCCTATTAATAATATAAAATAAAAACACATTTATAAATAGCGGTTTCCTTATTAGAACAAAATAGTTTACTCCATATCACTCCGCGGTTGTCGCAATGCACGACACAGGGAAACAAGCCAGGAGAGGCCAGCAGTGTCTTTCTAATAACAACTAAAAAATAAAGCCGCCTGCCAAGCGTGGCAAACATGGCAAACACGTTCAGTAAGGCACTGTATGTACGGGACGCCTGTTTTCCGCATTGAACTTTTGATGGAATGTAAGGGTATCAGTAACACACACCGCTTAATCATTGGTTAACGATTGTCTCATTGCGAAACGAACGCTGGTTGCGTATCCGACCCTTAAAGTAAAAAGTAAAGTAAGCATAATAGTTTTGTATAATATGCTGGTAGTGAATATTATTCATTTGCAAACAATCTACTAAAAAGTCGAATTTTATAAGATAAAGATAAGATTTTTATTTCCAAAAGAAAACTATAAAATTAAATCCAATTACAACGGCCTCAACTTCCCCGCGTCGTTAAAACTTTCACAAAGAAATTGCTTACAATTTTAGAGATATCGCTAACATCCATTGTTCTTACTCATACGTAATCATACTTTACATTTGAGTTAACATCATACTGATTTGACTTTGCATACATTTGGATGTTTCCCAACTGATGGAAAAAGATAATAGAAATACACAATACCACAGCTTATTTCTTTCTCTAATAACTTTAAAATAAAGTAAGGTATTGAGGTAGTTCAATTATTATTGAGTGGTATGTTAGTCCCATGACAGATAAAAATTAACTGTAAGAATAAGAATTACTTGTAATCTTCATTGAATAAAAATTATTCTATTCAATTCTATTCTCATCTGTTAAAAACGAATCCTTACCCCTATAATGTCAAACACTTGTTGGACAGCCGCTTGTAGGATAGCGAGTGTGGCCAGGTCTTCAGGCCGCAACTCCAGTGTGACGGTGTCCACGTCTATGCCTAATAGCACTGTTGGCTGCTTAGTCAACGGTCCACCTTCAGTTCGCTGCCAAGCTTCCCATGTGACCTCCAGCGTCGCACTACGCCATATATTTTAATTATTTAATTTTTTATGTATTAGAGTACAAAAACGAAAGTGAAAAGAAAAATATTTCGAATCCAGTGGGAGGCCGCCGTACACTTCGCTTACCGGTACGAGAATGCCACTCGAGAACATTTCTTTCCCATCGGTTATATTTTTTATTTAAGTATAAGTATCTTATACTTAAATAAAAAATATACATACTCCTGAAGAGGGTATAATATTTACCATATTCCCTTAATAATTAAACCTGTTTTTTATCTTTAGATTTTTCTTATTTAAGTACATAATTTATTTGAATAGTTCTAATTTTCATTGTATTGATTGGATGATATTTGTACTCGAAATTAACCCAAAATTGCACGACTCAATCTGTGAATGTTATGTACACTTGTAATTGATATACATATCAGAAAGTATAGAAATGTGTATGTTTTCGTGATTGTCATATATGTGTATTGTAAGTGTACTTGTTAAATAAAAAATATTTTTTTTTCATAGAAGAGGGGGCAAACGAGCATGCGGCTCACCTGATGTTAAGTGACTACAGCCGCCCATGATCAACCGCAACACCAGGTGAATTGCAGGTGCGTTGCCAGCCCTTTAGAAAGGAGTAAGCTCTTTTCTTGAAGGTCCCCAGGTCGTATCGGTCCGGAAAATTCGCCGGTGGTAAACTATTCCACAGAGAGGACGTACGCAGAAGTATATGCGAAAGAAAATGCAAAGAGATGCAACATCTCTTCGCAGCGCCAGTGAATCGAGCCGATCGGAAAGCACTCGGTTGTCGATGATTCGAGCCGCTCTGCGCTGGATGCGGTCAAGTGGAAGGAGCTGGTACTGGAGAGCCTGGGAACAGTATTCCATGTGCGGTCGAACCTGCGCCTTGTAAAGTTGCAGGCGGTGTGCCGGCATGAAATATTGTCCCGCTCTCTCTGCTGAGCACGCCAAGCTTTTTAGAGGCCAATTTGGCCTTCTCTTCCAAGTGACCACGAAACTGCACGTCACTCGATATGTCGACGCCGAAGATTCTGATACTGGGTGAGGCAACAAGGGGGGTGCCTTTAAACTGAGGAGATACGACAAAGGGGTTCTTTTTAGCGGTTAACACGCAAACTTGTGTCTTCTGGGGCTTAAACTGGAATAGATTTAGTCGCCCCCAATCCGAGACTCTGTTCAGCAGAGACTCTACTTCAGACATAAGTTTGTCCCGGTACTCGGAGACGTTCTCCCGAGAAATATGTGCACGGCCGGTGTAGAGCATCACCAGTGCTATCATCTGCATAGCAATGAATGTTACGGGTTTGCAACATATCATTGATATGCAGAAGAAACAGCGTTGGCGATAGCACGCAGCTTTGTGGAACACCAGCATTAATAGGCTTGAAATCGGAGCACCGTCTACAACGACCCTGATGCTCCAATCTGCAAGAAAGCTGGTGATCCAATCGCACAATTTCTCGGGAAGCGCATAGGAAGGGAGCTTCGAAAGAAGCGATTTGTGCCAAACCCGATCGAAGGCCTTCGCAATGTCCAAACTAGTGGCCAATGCCTCTCCCTTGGACTCTACTGCCTCCGCCCATATGTGAGTTAGGTAGACCAGAAGATTACCAGCTGACCGACCACGGCGAAAACCGTATTGGCGATCACTAATCAGGTGGTGATCCTCAAGGTACCTCATGAGCTGGCAGTTAACAATGGACTCCATTGTTTTGGAGAACAAGGAGGTGATGGCGATAGGCCGGTAGTTGGACGAGTCTGAGCGGTCGCCTTTTTTAGGGATCGGGTGGATGCAAGCCATCTTCCATGATTTCGGGACTACGCCTAGTGAGTAGGAGTACCGGAAAAGACGCGTTAAAACCGGTGCCAACTCAGCACAATTGGAGGGATTCCGTCAGGCCCACTCGACTTGTGGATGTCCAGGGAGAGGAGTGCGTTGCGAACCGAGCGCTGTGTGAACTGCACTTCCGGCATGGAGCACTCACACCGCGGGATGGTCGGCGGCGTACTCCCTCCGTCATCAAGAGTCGAGTTGGACGCAAAGAAAAAGCTTAGCAGATCGGCTTTCACCTTTGCGGTATGGGCCAGTGAGTCGTCCTCCCTGTGCAGAGATGGAAGAGATGGCTAACAGAAATTCCCCTGGACAGCCTTGGCGAGAGACCAGAATGCACGGGTTCCAGAAGGAAGGCGAACTAGTTTCTCGCCAATTCTGCCTATGTGCTCTGACTTTGCCTTGGCAATAACTCTTTTGAAGGACCTAGAGGCGGAATTATACTTCTTTTTTAGAGCGCTGGTGTTTACATCCCGGGACGATGATGCGTCAGCCCAGGCTTAGTAGCACTCCTGCTTATAGCATGATGCTATTTTACAGGAGCGACCAAACCATGGCTGAGATTTGCCTCCAATGGGCACCACAGAGGAAGGAATAAGAAATACCATACCCTGAAGTACCACATCAGCGACAGAATCCGCAACAGCGCTGGGATCGTCCGGTGAAAAGCAAACCCGCTCACAAGGGTAGGATGCAAAGAAAGATCGCATCCCATCCCAATCGGCTGACCTATAGTGCCAAACACGGCGGCAGCCTGCAGAATGCAACTGCGATTTCAGCATGAGTGGCACCACACTCCGGACAAGACAATGGTCCGAGGAGCCTAAAGGGGCGTCGACGGAAATCTGATATCCTGCCGGGTGAGAGGTCAGCAGAAGGTCCAACAGGGAAGGTGCATGATCCTCCACATCTGGAATCCGCGTAGGCGAAGTAACCAGTTGTGTCAGATCATACGCCAAGGTAAAATCATGGACAGATCTCCCCGCAAGATCGGTGAAACGTGAACCAAGCCATTCGGCGTGATGGGCGTTAAATTCGCCGAGGATCACGATGCTGCCGAGGGTTAGCAACGAATCTGTAGCCATTTGGACGTGGTCGAAGAGTCGGTCTGTTTCGGCATTACCGCTATGGGACCCATAGAGGTACCCGTAGACGCGCGGATGGTCGCGTCTACGCGTAGCCAAAGGATGGACAAGTCCGAACCTTCAAGACTGCCGAGGCGTCGAGAACAGATGTCCTCTCTGACGTAAACGCAAACTCCAGCCCGAGGCACAAAGGAGTGTTCCAGTTTGTACCCCGGGTAGGAGAGATACGAGACATCAGCCGGAGAGGACACCTGCGTCTCGATCAGAAAGAGCAGAGCCGGCCTCGCCGTCTCGAGATGGTAGTGGACGGCGTTTAGGTTAGAGTGAAGTCCCCTGATATTGCAGAAATTCACGGATAGCGTGGCAGGGGTCGCCTTGTTGCTTCGTTTGCCCCAATTAATTATAGTCTTGAGCGGAATTTTGGCCCCCCCCCCCCCCAGAATACGCGGGGCAGCCTGAGCACCCACGCTCGGGAGTGGAGAAACATGGTCGTGGATGCTCAGCGAGGGATTCTCCAGAGGTGCTGGTACCCTCTTGGGGTAGTCTATCATTTAATTCCGCTACCATGTTGATGGGGGGGCGGGGGGACTTTGGGCCTCCGGCCACCTGCACTCATCAGACGAAACGCGGAAGCAGAGCTTCCACTTCACGACGGTATTCTGTGAGGTCGTGGTACCACCCCGGTTTGAGCAGGCCCATACGTGCAACAGCAAAGCTGCCGCGTGGCTCTACCAAATGTATAAATAAAAAAAATTGGTTGTCGGTTCATCGAACTATATTGAAATGTATGTTTACATTTAATATTGTGTTTTGTTTCATCTAAGTTGAAAATAAATAATGTTCAACTGACAAGTATAAAGTAACAGTCATATACTTTTGTGTACAGGGCTTGTTTGAAGTCGGATGCTGGTGTCTATGGTAGTAGCTCCTTATTATCTGCTAAACGTACGTCCGTAATTAAACTCAGTCAGTAATTACTGCTAAACATAGGTCCATTCATAGTTTGCTACCAAGTATGATCCCGAGCCATCTGCGTCCATCGTCTACCGTTTCGACTACTGTTTCATCAGATCGCCACCCTAAGTAATAAAGGGTCACCCAGTAATAAAATACACTTGCCTTTAGAATGTTTCTTAAACATATCAGTTGTCGATTCTTTGAACCCAGTCCATTTAGGCCAACTCATTTTAGGCCACATTAGTTATTATTCTTTTAAATAAGTGACAAACGAACTTACAATCCCTCTGATAATAAGGAGCTACTACCATATCTATACTACCACACAATTATTGTGATGGCTGTAAGCAAAACAATGAAGATAATGAATAGGATTTTATCATAAAACAAGTGACAAACGAACTTACAATCCCTCTGATAATAAGGAGCTACTACCATATCTACACTACCATACAATTATTCTGATGGCTGTAAGCAAGACAATGAAGATAATGAATAGGATTTTATCATAAAAAAAAACAAGTGACAAACGAACTTTTAGTTCATCTGATAGTAGGTCGCTGCAGCCTATGGCCTCTGCAAACGACTTCTAACAAAGGGGGTTACACATGTGCTGCCACCTGTGAGGACTAAATGAAATGACTGTGTAGTTTTTTTATTTATTTATTTATTTTATTCTTTATTGCGTCCTTAAACAAAAGAATACAAAGGGCGGACTGAATGCCTCTAGCTGTAGAAATAACATTTTCTCTGTTTTAAATGAAAGCCATTTTACGGATTTTATCGCGTTTATATAAACTTTATTTCCGACAGTGGTCACGGGGATAACAGAGGTGTTTGACATCTCGATGTTATAATTAGCCCAACCCGGTTGCTGTGCAGCATTCAAAACGCCGAGGATTAAAAAGTTGAAATAAACGCGACAAAATTTGTTTCATTTAAGATAGAGGAAATGTTCGGTCGCAAGAGTACCGTCAAATAAAAGATACTACCGTCTCTATATGAACTTGGTATCATCCTTTTTACGTAATAAAACCAAAAGGTGTAAAAACTTATAGCTAAGTGGTAGTGTGGGTACTGACCCCAGCGTGGCGGGCAGCAGCAGCGGACGGCGTGTGTCGTCTGCGTCGCGTGCGTCGCTCGCGTCCGCACAGGACGCATGCACGGCGTGCAGCAGCGCGCGCACAACGAGCCGCTCGGGGCGCGCGCCCGCGTACACGTGCAGCCGCGCCCCGCACCACGCCGCCGCGCCGCACCGCCCCCCGCACGCCTACCTGCCCGCACTCCACCACCGCGCTCTCGATCGTCTGCCGCGCTGACACAACACTCTCCATCAGTGGCTTATGATACCTGATAATCTTCCGCTCACCAGATGTCGCGAACGGGGTGCATTTTTTGTTACACCATGTCATTTAATTGAAAAGTTAATGAAAATAAATTCTAGAGAAGTTTCTAGACCATATTAACATTTACACATATACGATTGACATGATTTACACAACATTAAGTCACAAAGCAAAGCCTTTCACAGTTTACTCTTTAATTTCTTGCACTTTAGTATATACTCGTAGAAGTAGATGTCTGTGAGCCTGAGCATTTATATATCATCAGGTAGACTGTGGGCTCGTTTGTCACCCTATTTTATAAAAAAGGTAAATAGAGCTAACGATATATTCACCGTAATTTATTTCAGATTATTTTTGTATTTATTTTTAATTATGAATTAATGGAAATAACTAGTGACACAATTTATGTATTCCTTATATTCTTTGAATAAACGTAAAGCTATCGTAATTATAATTATAAGCTATCATAATAACGATTCACAACTATATCATCATCATCATCATTACAGCTCTTTACAAGTCCACTGCTGAACATAGGCCTCCCCCAAGGTATGCCACAAAGCACGGTCCTGAGCCACCTGCATCCATCGACTTCCTGCATGTCTTACCAGGTCGTCACTCCATCTAGTGGGGGGTCGCCCTACACTTCGTCTACCGGTACGAGGCTGCCACTCGAGAACCTTTTTTCCCAACGGTTGTCGGTCTTCGAGCTATATGGTCGGCTCATTGCCACTTCAGCTTACTAGTCCGTTGGGCTATGTCGGTCACTCTGGTTCTACTGCAGGTATCCTCATTTCTAAGTTTATCACGCAGAGAAACTCCGAGCATAGCCCTCTCCATAGCTCACTGAGCGACTTTGAGCGTCCTCATACGGCCAGCAGTGAAGGACCACGTCTCAGTTCCATATGTCATCACCGGCAACACGCACTAGTTGTACAACTTAGTTTTCAGGTTTTAAGGTATACCCGACGAGAAGATGTGTCGTAATTTCCCGAAAACTGCCCAGCCGAGTTGAATCCGCAGTTAGTATAGTCCAACTTCGACCGAGAGGTCGGTCGAAGTTGGACTTACCTAGCCGCACTATTTGTCCAAGGTAAACGTACTCGTCAACAAATTCGAGCTTAGTGCTCCCAACAACTACCGGCATAGGTGTGACATGGACATTAATCATGATCTTTGTTTTGTCCATGTTCATCTTAAGACTTATCCGTTGGGAGGCACTATTGAGGTCATTGAGCATAGTGCTTAAGTCCTCCAGCGATTCTGCCATAAGGACTATATCGTCGGCAAATCGAAGGTGAGTGATGTACTCGCCATTGATGTTAATACCGTATCCTTTCCAGTCCAGTAGCTTGAAAACGTCTTCCAATGCAGCGGTAAAGAGTTTCGGGGAAATAACGTCACCCTGTCTTACACCTCTCTGCAGGGTTTCGTACTCTGGTTCTGTACTCGGATAGCCATCGTAGCCCTACTGTACAAACACTTCAGCACTTCGATATACCGACAGTCAACTTGGCACCGCTGAAGAGACTGTATCACCGCCCAAATTTCGATGGAATCCAAGGCTTTCTCATAGTCCACATACGCCAGGCAAAGTGGCAGATTGTACTCTTCGGACTTCTGTACAATTTGCCGAAGGGTATGTATGTGGTCTATGGTACTAAAGCTTTTTCGGAAACCAGCTTGTTCGGGAGGCTGGAAGTCGTCGAGTCGGCGTGCGAGACGATTCGTAATGACTTTCGAAAACAGCACGTAGACGCGTCATTCATATCGTCTACTGCATTGCAATCTTCTAGGCACTGAAAGCGGTTACGTAACTCGAGCTGAAAGGTTTCGGGATTCTGGATTAGAGCACGAGGGAGACGGAGCGTTGACTTCATTAGACGAGACCTCTCCAACTTAACGTTTAGGTTCAGTGTGCCTCTAACCATTCTGTGATTGCTGCCAGTTTTCACCCTTGCGATCACTGAGACATCACTGAACAGTTGGCGTCTGGTCATCATAATGAAGTCAATCTCATTTTTTGTCGAACCGTCGCGTCGTGGCTGGACTAGGTCCACTTCCTGTGGGGCCGCTTCTGGAAGAAAAAGTTCATCATAAAGAGTACCTCTTTCTTAATAAAGTCGGCCAGCTGCTGCCCCTTCGGTTCCGTTGCTCTACTCCAAATTTTCCTAACTTCAGCTCACCGTTTTCTCTTGTGCCTAGTTTTGCGTTGAAGTCTCCCATCAACACGGTGTAGTGGGTTTTGGAGGAATGCATGGCTCTGGAAATATCCTCATACATTTCCTCCACCTCCTCATCGGGATGTGCCGAGGTTGGTGCGTAAACCTGTATGACATATTCAGCGAATACCGTTTGGTGATTCTGAGTATCAGGTACGCGACCCTCGTTGACACACTCCCAATTTTTACAACGTTCTTGACGAGAGACTTGTGGACGATAAATCCGACACCTCCTTGGGACAGATGGTCGCCCTCCCGGTGATAGAACAAGTTGCCGGACTCGAGGATTACCGTGTCCTCCCCCTCTCTTCGGACCTCGGATAACCCAATAATATGCCAGCGCAACTTGTCTACCTCTTCTTCCAGCTCCAGTATCTTCTCGTCAGTCCTCAGGGTGCGTGCGTTATATGTTGCCAGGTCGAGTCGTCGTAGGTGGCAACCGAACCTCCACCGGAGATTCTTAGCACCCCTTGCCCGGCCGTTACCATGGTGGCCACCGTAGCCAGGAATAGCGAGGCCGCCGGGGACTGGGGACCGTTTGTTTGCGTCGTTACTCATGGGGGGATATTTGCCATAGTTGCCACACTAGACAAGTGAGTTGGCAAAAACAGTTTTTTATTATTTTGAGGTGTTATCCTACGATGCTACTGCTCGTCTCTTACCTGTTTAATATATCTCTGTCGCCTTTTGCGACATTCACATGATGAAATGAAGTTGTGAATATTTTTAACAAAAAAATTTGTATAGGAAGTAGAAATAAGAAGCCATTGTAGAATGCCAATGAAAATTAGCACGAAAAAACCTTTAGAAGTGCTGACATTTTAACTTCTACAACAAGCCAGTAATCACTGAACATTACTTACCCATTAATTTCCGTAGTCTATATAAAATTGGATGCTGCACTTGGATGTGTTCTTCTGCTTCTATATTGCTTCTAGCAGGCGTCAATTCCTTAATTATCTAAAATGTATAAAACTTTTTTGAACGGTTTGTACACACCATGAAGGTTAGAGAACGGGAGAACGATCACCGTAGAAAATAGTGTCCCAGAAATATGGACACCATCAGTGAGGCGCTGCGATCGCAAAGTTCTGTCAATAAAAGTCATTTTCAGTCTATTATGCACAATAAAATATTTCTCCATTTTTTAATGTTTCTTATTGCCAAACATTACAAAATTACGGAGCACGAAAATTTTCTCAATAAAAATGAAATAAAAATTTGTACATTATTCAAGTAACTTCACCTACTTGTACTCATAAACAGCTAACTTCACAGTCACTACTCAACGACGTCAGCGCCGCTATGTATTCTACAATTTTCAAGGACAGGCGGGCTATGCTTTAGTACGTAGTGATCGTTCTCCTTTTCTCTAACCTTTATAGTACAGACAATCATTTCATTATGACGACCAGACGCCAACTGTTCAGTGATGTCTCAGTGATCGCAAGGGTGAAAACTGGCAGCGATCACCGAATGGTTAGAGGCACACTGAACCTAAACGTTAAGTTGGAGAGGTCTCGTCTAATGAAGTCAACGCTCCGTCCCCCTCGTGCTCTGATCCAAAATCCCGAAAACTTTCAGCTCGAGTTACACAACCGCTTTCAGTGCCTACAAGATTGCAATGCAGTGGACGATATGAATGACAAGCTTGTGGAAACTGTCCATGCGGTCGGAGCTAAGTTCTGCAAGACCCGCCGCAGAAGAACACAAAAACTCTCCGATCACACTCTTAATCTCATGGCTGTTAGACGGGAGATGAGGCTGCAATCGTCAACAGATTTGACAGCATACAGGCAACTGAACAGACAGATCTCCAAATGCATGCGGCGAGACTTACGCAACTTTAATACTGCTCGTATTAAAGAAGCGATCGAGCGGAACCAGGGCTCCAAAGTCTTTGCCAGAGATCTATCTGCCAGAAAGAGCCAACTGTCAAGGCTGAAGACTGAGTGTGGCAGCATCGTTTTCGGGACACCTGAGATTTTGAGTGAGATTGAGAGGTTCTATGGGCAGCTGTACACATCATCGTTGGAGCCACACGCAAGTGTGAGTAACGATCCAAGAGCAAGTCTTATCCGACACTATTCCGATGATATCCCGGACGTCAGTCTAAGCGAGATTAGAATGGCTCTCCAGCACCTTAAAAACGGCAGGGCCCCAGGCGAGGATGGAATTACAGCGGAGCTTCTGAAAGCGGGTGGAACACCGGTACTTGAAGTCCTTCAGAAGCTCTTCAATTCCGTCCTCCATGGTGGCACTACTCCAGAGGCGTGGAGCAGAAGTGCCGTGGTCTTGTTCTTTAAGAAAGGCGACAACGCTCTCTTGAAGAACTACAGACCGATTTCCCTTCTGAGCCGCGTCTACGTGCTGTTTTCGAGAGTCATTACGAATCGTCTCGCACGCAGACTCGACGACTTCCAGCCTCCCGAACAAGCCGGTTTCCGAAAAGGCTTCAGTACCATAGACCACATACATACCCTGCGGCAGATTGTACAGAAGACTGAAGAGTACAATTTGCCACTTTGCCTGGCGTATGTGGACTATGAGAAAGCCTTTGATTCCGTCGAAATTTGGGCGGTGCTGCAGTCCCTTCAGCGGTGCCAAGTTGACTGTCGGTATATTGAAGTGCTGAAGTGTTTGTACAGTAGGGCTACGATGGCTATCCGAGTACAGAACCAGAGCTCGAAACCTATCCAACTGCAGAGAGGTGTAAGACAGGGTGACGTTATATCCCCGAAACTCTTCACCGCTGCTTTGGAAGACGTTTTCAAGCTACTGGACTGGAAAGGATACGGTATTAACATCAATGGCGAGTACATCACTCACCTTCGATTTGCCGACGATATAGTCCTTATGGCAGAATCGCTGGAGGACTTAAGCACTATGCTCAATGACCTCAATAGTGCCTCCCAACGGATAGGTCTTAAGATGAACATGGACAAAACAAAGATTATGTTTAATGTCCATGTCACACCTATGCCGGTAGTTGTTGGGAGCACTATGCTCGAAGTTGTTGACGAGTACGTTTACCTGGGACAAATAGTCCGACTAGGTAAGTCCAACTTCGACCGAGAGGTCAATCGACGGATTCAACTCGGCTGGGCAGCGTTCGGGAAATTACGACATATCTTCTCGTCAGGTATACCTCAATCTCTGAAAACTAAAGTGTACAACCAGTGCGTGTTGCCAGTGATGACTTACGGATCAGAGACGTGGTCCTTCACTGCTGGCCGTATGAGGACGCTCAAGGTCGCTCAGCGAGCTATGGAGAGGGCTATGCTCGGAGTTTCTCTGCGTGATAGACTCAGAAATGAGGATATCCGCAGTAAAACCAGATTGACCGACATAGCCCAACGGATTAGTAAGCTGAAGTGGCAATGGGCCGGCCATATAGCTCGAAGAACCGATAACCGATGGGGAAGAAAGGTTCTCGAGTGGCAGCCTCGTACCGGTAGGCGTAGTGTAGGGCGACCCCCCACTAGATGGAGTGACGACCTGGTAAGATATGCAGGAAGTCGATGGATGCAGGTGGCTCAGGACCGTGCTTTGTGGCATTACTTGGGGGAGGCCTATGTTCAGCAGTGGACTTGTGAAGGGCTGTGATGATGATGATGATGATGAATCATACACAATCGCAACCCCCGAAATTGTAGGTAATGACAAATTTTATGAGATATTGCAGAAGGATCATAACTACAATTTAACTCTCTCGTATTCGACGACCAAAGGCGATGTCATGTCTTTGCGATAATTATTGTACTTACTATCAGGCCGAAAAAGATTGTTTAAGTAGGAACTCAGATTAATAAACAAAAAAATGGAGCGCTGCATATATTTCAATTGACCGAAAAATTAACCCAAAAACATACCCAACTTTTTGTAAGAATATGTATTCACGTGTACATGCATATATACATACACACTCACGTATTTTAACATAGAGTAAACTTTTGACGTGTAGTAACGTGTAGGTAGAGAGTACGAACTTCCATTTGGCAGGTTCACCTCCTTATAATCCGTATACCTACCTATGCTCATCGGTTAATGGTACTCTAAATTTGGCCCATCTTCAAAATATTGCTAAATTGGTGGTTTGGGTCAAGGGTGTCCATTGCTGAATCTGCCATTCGCTTCTACGCAAAGGAGAAGAAGACGTCTCCATACATTATTAGACCTAGATGTTAACAAAATGAAAGTAGGGCCATTGAAAGCATATATATAAACAATTCATAGCTGATGATTATTTATAGATTTATATTTACGCGAAAACTACACATTCAAATAAAACTAGTTCTTACAGATTTTATCGCGTATATTAAATTTTTAAAATACAATAAATAAATAAAAAAATTCTCATGAAATTTTATTTATTGTCGTTTCTCTAGGGCTCCCTTGAAATTCATATAAATAATTCGATACTTCAATTTTGATATTTTTTATTTTTAGATTAGAGCATAGTTAAATTAATTGACAAATTGAATCTACGTTATTTTTACCTTTATTAAAAAAAATATTGTCTTTGGCTGACCATAGGATTAAAAAAGTTGGTACGGGACCTGAGAGGTGAAGAACTAGTCACCGTCGACTGTCAGTCGATGACGATGGTAACTCTAGTTTTTGTGAGTGTGTCTTTAGGAGATTTTGTCCACAGCGGACACGCTATACGACACACAACTTCGCAATGTGCGGCGTCAGCGTATTGTGAAAAAATTAACGTAACATATTAAGTAAGTATATTGGATAATTTCTTATTACTTCACACTGACAAGCGTATAATTGTATGAGACTATGACCAAAGAAAAATGTACATGCCTGCACACGTGTTCAAGCTAGTAAATGCGTGTGTGCGTGCGTGTTTATGCGTGTGTGAGCGTGTGTGTATGCGCTCACCAGTTGTTGTATGAGGTGAAGTCGAGCGACGCGATCGGTGCTGAGGTCGAACAACACGGGCCGCTCCACATCCAGCCGCATCGACCCTCGCCCCCCCGCAAGACCCCCCGCCGCGCCCGCAACTGTGACAAATAAAGCTCTTTCATACATGCGTAAGTTTTTTGAAGTCGGCTAAAAAACACGTTCATCAACAGCGTTTTAAACACTTCATATAATTTGAAATTCTAATACGTTCAACATGCTTATTTCAATTATTTACAGTAAAGAGCTATATAGCTTCGAGTGCAATGCTCACATTAAAAATTATAGCACGTTATTAATACTTCATGTATTACTAACTACACGGCGCACTGAAAACAAGTTTCGTGGATCATATCACGAAATAATGCTGAGTCATTTTATATCAATCCCGCAGACATATAGCTTATATTATGATCACATTGTTGAATATTAGGAAACCTAAAGCCTAACATGTATTTTTAGGATCATATAAAATCTGACATCATTTCAAACTAGAGTAGCAAGGCATATAATATTCCCTCCCCTCCAATTCCTCGATTTAACCTACTTTCAACCTTTTTCAGCCGACTTTAAAGAAACTGCAATTTTAATTTCTTTCTTTTTTACGCGACCTTTGTAAATAAGAAGTTGCATGTTTTTAATTTTTTTTTTGAAAAATTATTAAAAATTATTAAGGGAAACATTTAAAAAACATTGAAATAATACTAGTTTTTACGGAATTTATCGCGTATATTTAACTTTTTAATTACCCGACGTTTCGAACGCTTTACAGCACTCATGGTCACGGGCAGGACTGAGATGTTCAACGTCCATATGTCATAGTTAACCGCGGTTAACTTTTGTTCCGATCTATGCAGTATGAACTTATGGTATGTTGAAGTCTTGCAGTTGTATGCTTGGGTTGGGATTTAACCTATCACTCACTGCGCCCGCCATAACAAAAAACAGCTTTGTACCGAGGGGTCCGTCGTCACCTCAGCTGGCGGCACTTGTTTTAAATATTTATGTTTCTCACGACCTTTCATTTATGTTTAAAGAGGTTTTAGTTACAGTTATTTAAAGCCGATAAGATTTAGCTAAATTTCATTTCAAAGACTGATAATTTATAGTTTTTAATGTTGTTTCGATAATATTATAATATTTTAACACAATACGTGACATTTTGTAATTAAATTAAAATATTTATAAGTTTACATTAATGTTATCGTTTTAGCGTATAAAAATAATAATGCGGAATAAGTATTGATGACAGTACTTGTTGAAAGTGCTTGTGCTTATAATGATTAAGTGTTAAATATTGATATGTATAGCTCAATTAAATGTTCGGCTTCACCTGAAGGTTACAGGAAAGACCGAACAATGAGTTTCTGCTTCGGTTTCGTCCAAAAGCTAAAAGAAGTCGGAAATTACTTAGCAACGACTTTAGAAGTTATACTGGACTACTCTTTTTACTGCCTGGAAAATAAATAGGGTTAAACAGGTGAATGGAGTAGAAGCCTATGGCACTAATATTTTACAAAAAATAAAAACAAAATTATATTAAATAAAAAAAACCATTAAAATTATCGAAACTCAAAGCATACCCAGCCCACTTTGCGAGCGGCAATACAACAATAAACTTAGTAGGCCGTCAACTCTCATTTCAGTTTATCTGTAGTAACAGTATCAGTTATCCATGTTAGCTGCGGTGTGGCATCGCGTCGCCGTCGTATTATTGATGTTTCCGCGTGTATATTGTAAACATGTAGCAGCACTCTAATATCGAGTATCTAACAATATATGTCTATATGTACATATGTCGCGTCTGGTGAAACCGTACACGGTGCGAAGAATCGATATTTACCCGTGTTGGAATTTACATCGTGCACAATGAGCACTGGTAGAGTTTCCAAAACCCACACAAAATAAAAAGATCACCAGAACTAACACCTCTAGACTTATTTGTGACCCGAACTTAAACGATTATTGTACACAGAAGAAGCACAAAGTGTTAGTGATTTAAAGCAGCGTATAATAGACGCATTTAATGTGATAAAAAGTGATAGAGACACGCTTCGAAGTTTAACAAACAATTTACAAAGACGTGCTAGTTTGTGTTTAGAAGGATACGGTAGATAGACATTTTGAAAAATTACCGCGATATCGCTGAAAAGGTAATTTTTATTTGTAAATAACAATAATGTAGTATAATTTTGTAAATATCAATCATTGTAGTTTGTAAATAAGTTGATTTCTATCTTGGACACGTGACGGAATAATCAATGAAAGAGTGATAATGAAAAGTGAAAAATAGCAGTATTTTAAATCTCTTTCTTTTATCGACCAAGTATTTGACTATTAACCAGTATATGCTGATCTTTCATTAGTAAGCAGTAACTAGTACTGGGAGGTCTACCAACACTGAACGATTTAAGGTCATTAACATTATACGCGAACGCCGTAGGATGAATTGTTTTTGGTATTTTTTTTTTTTGATATTTAGAAATATTATTTAGTTACATATTATTATAATTTATAAAACTTTCGAGGATAGCTTCTACTCCCACTTATACAAAACACCATATTATTTTTCAGACGGTGAAAATAGTCACCCAGTATACATAAGTAGTAGACGTGTGTGCGTGTGCGTGTGCGTGCGCGTGCATACCGGTAGCGGGTAGGGACAGCTTGAGCGTAGCGAGCGCGGGCGGAATGTCGGTGAGCGGGTCGCGCGCACCGCGCTGCGTGCTCAGCAGGGAGCAGCACCCCGCCTCCACTCCCGTGCCCGCACCCAGCGACACGCTCGCGTCAAACAGCGACACCTGTCGCACGTTGAACACATACATATATTGAACAAAAATTTATTAGACAAATCCATTGCTTAGTACACTTGTGTGTGAATTAAATGCATGTAGTCCGTACGGATAAAGAATGGGATTAGAAATAGCGGTCCATAGAGCCCGTACCATCAACATGCCCAGTGCCAATAACGAAAACCCGCTAATAACGGTTTATCGTTACCACGTATATATTTCAAAAATAATAATTAGAATGCTTACGTAGTTTAGGTAAGGAAGGAAATAAAAAATCGACTAATGAAATAAAAATAAATAATAAATCAAAAATGCTAATATAAGTCACGTTATAAGGCATTCTAATATTTTAAGTAATTATCAAATTTAATGAACGGGACAAAGTGATTTTTACTGCGACTTTTTAGTAACCTGAATGACGGTCACGGTGGTTTAACAATAACACTTTTCCCCAAAAATCCAGTCGCCTCTTGCGACAAACACGGCTTGATATGGATATTGATACACCACCGTTACACAGTAACTGATAATTTCTCAAAACATTTTATTTGTCGACAACATCTTGCAATCGTCGTTTCTCTAGCGCTCACTTGACCTTCATACATATGATTTGATATTAAAATTGTTGATATTTTTTATTTTTGGATAAGAACATAGTAAAATTAATTGGCAAAAGGACTACGTTACATTAATTTTTATTAATAAAATATTGTCCTTGGCCTAACCATAACCATTATTGTATTTGTGAACATCAAAACTACTTTTTACAGTTACTCTTTTACAGAGAGAAAAGTGTTCTATAATCTCCAAATGCCTCCATTAATTACGTGAAGTGTTTAGGAGGGGGAAGGGTCGAGTCGAATCTCACCAAGTCTCACGTCGGGGAATGTGAGGGCTCGTCAACGTAATTTTTTTTCAAGAAACTGAAAAATTGCGAGAAAATTGGGTAAATCAAGTTAAATATGTCTAAATCCTACACAATGATATTAACGCAGTTATGCCAACTCCACAAGTTAAATTTTATTATTTTAAAATTATTTAAAATTGTTTTTTTTTTTAAATAAAACAAACGCAATTAAATATAGACTTACACTAAACATTTGCATTTTGAAAAATCTCACGTGAAATTTGCGAGGGGGGCGTGATCGAACTATATGTCACAACATCTCACGAGAGGGAGGGGTAGGTAAAAATACTAAAATCGCCTCACGTAATTAATAAACGCCCCCTTACAGCCAATCTAAAGTCCACTATTGAACATAAATCTTTCCCTAGACATAGTACAACCCCATAAAGGGAAAATTTGCCATTTTAGTGACACTTGGCAGCCGAGGTTTTCGTAACCACAAATTTTATTATTTTCAAGTTAATATCAGAAAGAGTCTATCTATACTTTATTTCATTTCTCTTTTACACACGGTGATATGAGGCTACATTACGTCCCCACCACCCAGAGAGCGCCACGACACCGAAGGAATTTCATTAATTTTGAATGTTACCAAAACATCAATACCAATTCAGTTACCATCAGATGGACTGTTGTGCTCAATTGTCAGCCTTATTCAAAAAAAAAATTATGAGTAAATATCTATGTTTACAGTACCTGTAAGGTCTTCTGAGTCTCGTTTCTCCAGTAATACAAATTAGGTTGATGCAAAGTCACTTGAAGGAGCAGCAGATTGCCTTCAGTTTTCCTCGCGCGAGGCAAAACATCCTGAAACAAATATTTAAGAAAAATAAAGTAGCATCAGAGTATCAGTGTGAACAAATCGAGCAACAATAATGCCACCAGATCCTAAACATCCTACAATACAGACACATAGCTAAAAGTTAGTTTTGACACAGCGAAGGCCTTCGATCGGGTTTGGCACAAAGCGCTTTTTTCGAAGCTTCCTTCCTATGGGCTTCCCGAAAAATTGTGCGATTGGATCACCAGTTTTCTTGCAGATCGGAGCATCAAAGTCGTAGTAGACGGCGCATGCTCCGATTTCAAGCCCATTAACACAGTTCTTCCACAAGGCTGCGTGCTATCACCAACGCTGTTTCTTTGGCGTATCAATTATATGATGCAAACCGGTAGCACTCATAGCTATGCGGACGACAGCACTGGTGATGCTTTATACACCGGCCGTGCCAATATTTCTCGGGAAAACATCGCCGAGTACCGGGATAAACTTGTGTCTGAAGTCGAGACTTTGTTGACAAAGTCTCGGACTCGGGACGACTAAATCCAGTCCAGTTCAATCCTTTGACGACACAAGTTTGCACTTTTACAGAGTACCCCTTTGTCGTATCTCCTCAGTTTCAGGGCACGCTCCTCGCTGCCTCAAATAGTATCGGAATCCTCCTCGTCAACATATTGAGTGACGTACAGTTTCGTGGTCATTTTTTTATAAGATAGGATGACAAACGAGCACACAGTCCACCTGATGGTAAGTGGTTGCTGTGACCCATAGACATCTACATCTATCCTCACGAATCAAAATGCAGATGCGTTGTCATCCGTGAGGACTTAGGTACCATTTTATTGCATCCAGCACAGTGAGTCGAATTGTCGGCGACCAAGTTCTTTCTGATTGGCTTGATTCACTGCCACTGTGGAGAGATGTTTCATTTCTTTGCGTATTTGACGGCATCTACCACGGGGAGTGCTCTGAGGAATTGTTCGCAATAATCTCAACCGCTCAATTTCACCATCGCACAACGCGACAAAAATCACGACACCATCCATAGCACCTTGTTGATTGGCGGTCCACCACTGTGCAATTTAGAAGAAGTTTTTTTCCTAGCACAACTTCCTTGTGGAATCGACTACCACCAGCGATTATTCCGGACCGATACGACTTAGGGATCTTCAAGAAAGAAGCCTACTCATTTTTTTTAAAACCGCCAAGCCATCTGCAATTCCCCTGGTGTTGCAGTTATTTATGGGCGGCGGTAATCACTTACCATCAGATGAGCCGCATGCTCGTTTGCCCCCTCTCCTATAAAAAAAGTTTATTTACTAACAACTTTATTTTTCTCTTGTAAAAAAATCTATGCCTCATCAATCAAATAAGAGACAAAATTAATATGACATGATGACCTATCAAACAACGATATGTCATCATTGTCATTTTGAAATCTTAGGATGATGATGATGAAACAATATAAAGATGAAATTGTAACAAAATAAGTAATAATAAATGGAATTTTATTTGTCATATTCAATATAGACATCATACTCATAAAAGTAAACGTCAACTTAGGATGTGGTTAAACTTGCTCGTTCTCTCTTAACTAAGTAACAACAGAAGGAGACAGGTATGCCGTGTAGTGGCGGTTAAGAATATCCAATACCCCATATCTTCCCGTGGGTGTCGTAAGAGGCGAAAGACGGTAAAAGACAGGAGATGGGCAGCAGCATCTTCCTGATAACAGCAACTGTACGACAAAAAAAAACTGCGGTTGCCAACCCGCTCGCCAAGCGTGGCAACTATGGCAAATATACCCCGCATGAACAATTACACAAATAGACGGCCCCCAGTCCCCGGCGGCCCCGCTATTCCTGGCTACGGTGGCGGCCATGGTAACGGCGGGGCAGGGGGTGCTAAGAATCTCCGGTGGAGGTTCGGTTGCCACCTACGACGACTCGACCTGGCAACATTTAATGCACGCACACTGAGGACTGACGAGAAGATCCTGGAGCTGGAAGAAGAGATAGACAAGTTGCGCTGGAGTATTATAGGATTATCCGAGGTCCGAAGAGAGGGGGGAGGACACGGTGATTCTCGAATCCGGCAACTTGTTCTATCACCGGGAGGGCGACCATCTGTCCCAAGGAGGTGTCGGATTTATCGTCCACAAGTCTCTCGTCAACAACGTTGTAAAGATTGGGAGTGTGTCGACGAGGGTCGCGTACCTGATACTCAGAATCACCAAACGGTATTCGCTGAAGGTCATACAGGTTTACGCACCAACCTCGGCACATTCCGATGAGGAGGTGGAGGAAATGTATGAGGATATTTCCAAAGCCATGCATTCCTCCAAAACCCACTACACGGTGTTGATGGGAGACTTCAACGCAAAACTAGGCACAAGAGAAAACGGTGAGCTGAAGTTAGGGAAATTTGGAGTAGGGCAACGGAACCGAAGGGGCCAGCAGCTGGCCGACTTGGCTGGGACTCTTTATGATGAACTCTTTCTTCCAAAAGCGGCCCCACAGGAAGTGGACCTGGTCGAGCCCCGACGGTTCGACAAAAAATGAGATTGACTTCATTATGACGACCAGACGCCAACTGTTCAGTGATGTCTCAGTGATCGCAAGGGTGAAAACTGGCAGCGATCACCGAATGGTTAGAGGCACACTGAACCTAAACGTTAAGTTGGAGAGGTCTCGTCTAATGAAGTCAACGCTCCGTCCCCCTCGTGCTCTAATCCAAAATCCCGAAAACTTTCAGCTCGAGTTACACAACCGCTTTCAGTGCCTACAAGATTGCAATGCAGTGGACGATATGAATGACAAGCTCGTGGAAACTGTCCATGCGGTCGGAGCTAAGTTCTGCAAGACCCGCCGCAGAAGAACACAAAAACTCTCCGATCACACTCTTAATCTCATGGCTGTTAGACGGCAGATGAGGCTGCAATCGTCAACAGATTTGACAGCATACAGGCAACTGAACAGACAGATCTCCAAATGCATGCGGCGAGACTTACGCAACTTTAATACTGCTCGTATTAAAGAAGCGATCGAGCGGAACCAGGGCTCCAAAGTCTTTGCCAGAGATCTGTCTGCCCGTAAGAGCCAACTGTCAAGGCTGAAGACTGAGTGTGGCAGCATCGTTTCCGGGACACCTGAGATTTTGAGTGAGATTGAGAGGTTCTATGGGCAGCTGTACACATCATCGTTGGAGCCACACGCAAGTGTGAGTAACGATCCAAGAGCAAGTCTTATCCGACACTATTCCGATGATATCCCGGACGTCAGTCTAAGCGAGATTAGAATGGCTCTCCAGCACCTTAAAAACGGCAGGGCCCCAGGCGAGGATGGAATTACAGCGGAGCTTCTGAAAGCGGATGGAACATCGGTACTTGAAGTCCTTCAGAAGCTTTTCAATTCCGTCCTCCATGGTGGCACTATTCCAGAGGCGTGGAGCAGAAGTGCGGTGGTCTTGTTCTTTAAGAAAGGCGACAACGCTCTCTTGAAGAACTACAGACCGATTTCCCTTCTGACCCGCGTCTACGTGCTGTTTTCGAGAGTCATTACGAATCGTCTCGCACGCAGACTCGACGACTTCCAGCCTCCCGAACAAGCCGGTTTCCGAAAAGGCTTCATAATCATAGACCACATACATACCCTGCGGCAGATTGTACAGAAGACTGAAGAGTACAATTTGCCACTTTGCCTGGCGTATGTGGACTATGAGAAAGCCTTTGATTCCGTCGAAATTTGGCCAGTGCTACAGTCCTTCAGCGGTGCCAAGTTGACTGTCGGTATATCGAAGTACTGAAGTGTTTGTACAGTAGGGCTACGATGGCTATCCGAGTACAGAACCAGAGCTCGAAACCTATCCAACTGCAGAGAGGTGTAAGACAGGGTGACGTTATATCCCCGAAACTCTTCACCGCTGCTTTGGAAGACGTTTTCAAGCTACTGGACTGGAAAGGATACGGTATTAACATCAATGGCGAGTACATCACTCACCTTCGATTTGCCGACGATATAGTCCTTATGGCAGAATCGCTGGAGGACTTAAGCACTATGCTCAATGACCTCAATAGTGCCTCCTAACGGATAAGTCTTAAGATGAACATGGACAAAACAAAGATCATGTTTAATGTCCATGTCATACCTATGCCGGTAGTTGTTGGGAGCACTAAGCCCGAATTTGTTGACGAGTACGTTTACCTTGGACAAATATTCCGGCTAGGTAAGTCCAACTTCGACCGAGAGGTCAATCGACGGATTCAACTCGGCTGGGCAGTTTTCGGGAAATTACGACACATCTTCTCGTCAGGTATACCTCAATCTCTGAAAACTAAAGTATATAACCAGTGCGTGTTTCCAGTGATGACTTACGGATCTGAGACGTGGTCCTTCACCGCTGGCCGTATGAGGACGCTCAAGGTCGCTCAGCGAGCTATGAAGAGGGCTATGCTCGGAGTTTCTCTGCGTGATAGACTCAGAAATGAGGATATCCAGAGTAAAACCAGAGTGACCGACATAGCCCAACGGATTAGTAAGCTGAAGTGGCAATGGGCCGGCCATATAGCTCGAAGAACCGATAACCGATGGGGAAGAAAGGTTCTCGAGTGGCAGCCTCGTACCGGTAGGCGTAGTGTAGTGCGACCCCCCACTAGATGGAGTGACGACCTGGTAAGATATGCAGGAAGTCGATGGATGCAGGTGGCTCAGGACCGTGCTTTGTGGCATTACTTGGGGGAAGCCTATGTTCAGCAGTGGACTTGTGAAGGGCTGTGATGATGATGATGATGATGATGTTATTTTTTTCTTGTGTATTTTATTTTATTTTGTAAGTTTAGTATCAATAATCAATAAATATCAATAATTAAAATATAATATCAATAAATATCAAATACCAATAAATGAATATGAATATCAATATCAATATTGCACTTTCGTAAACATTCTTGAATAAAATATTTATTTCAAATTTCATAAATATAAATGATATTTTTTTTTAAATTAAACAGAAAAAGTTCTAAACTAAGCTCAATGTACTCACAGTGAGGTCGTGGTGAGCTTTGCCCATTTCAACGTTTCTAGCATTCTCCGTGACACTCGCGCTGCTAGAGGTCGCAGGTTCCTGTACTTCCGCCTTCTTGCTTGCATCCTTACTTTCTGCTGTACTTACCTGAAAATAAGAAACATCAAAATAATAATTTGTCTGAATTATCGCAGTGGATGGCCCCGAGCACGTGCACGTATGTTGGCAACTCGCCTATCAAGTGTAGCAATACAAGTTGTATTCTCTTTTTTTTGCGACAATTTGATATATCAATGAAAGAATAATTCGTTTACATACTTTATATTTATTAATTATTTATAATAATTATTTTTATTAATAGTTCCATTTTTAGAAATTATTAATAAAAAATAATTAAATTTTTGAATGATTCAAACGACTTGTCATTGGTTGTGACTTCATTATACCCGATGAAGCTGTCAGTCAATCGCAATCATGCTATACTTTTGTATTTTCTATATGCAGATCACCACGTGTCATAAAATATATATATATATATATATATATATATATATATATATATATATATATATATATATATATATATATATTACCTGTATTATGTCATAAGGATTTTTTTTTAAATTTTGACAACGTAAACATAATGGCTGATTTACACAGGGTCAGTAACTAACTACAAATTCAGGCAAGTCAGTGCTGACCCGAAAAAAAACTTGTGTAAACTGATTTGAAGTCAGTACAGTGGCTTGAAGTCAGCGCTGACTTGAATATTCGGACACGAATATTTTAAAGTCAGTTGGCTATAAAATAAATAATATAAAATTCACTTCTACTATTTGGAGGAGCTTTAATTATAATATGCTTCCCATCGATTGCTCCATAACATGAAGGGAAATTCCACTTGGTATTGAAACCGACTTTAATAATTTTCCATTCTTCCTCTCGTTCTGGAATCTGTAAACAAAAAAAAATAATTACAACCTAAATACGTATTATTATCAACTAATGATTTATTAAACATTACATTTTATTCTCATTAACAGGTTAACTCAGGAACCAGCAACGATGACGTTGAGTTGGGTGAAGCTGAGGGTGTTGGTGACGAAGCTGAAAATGTATCAAGATCTACTGAAAATAATGATAATTCTACTGAAACGCCAACTCAAGCCATCCAGACGCCAGTTCGAAATTCTGTGACAGCTCCCAATCAATCTGGGCCTCCGCGATCAAAAAGCTCCAAAATATCTCAGATGACCGCCATGATAAAGGACTTAAAAAGTGTGTCAAATGATGTTAATATGTCACCATTTGAAGAAGAGTCTGACGCTGATATTTTCGGTAAACATGTGGCAGCTCAACTAAAAAAACTGTCTGAAGAACAATCTGTTATTACACAAGAAGAGATCCAAAAAATATTATCCAAAGCTAGATTGGCTGATATACAACAAAAGAAGTATACAGAAAATGCACACTCTTCATCCCCTAACTATTTTATCCCTAGTCCGGCAGCAACTACAACAAGCAGCACAAGTAGCATGGGATTTTACTCCCTGGAGCCCAACCCAATGACTGCATCAAGCGACAACACCATAACATTTTACCCGCCAGAGGTTGCCGAGCCTGCCACTAGCAACAGCTCTTTAGGATTTCATCCTTCCGATCGATCAACGAACCCTATATTTGTAAACCTCAGGCAGGTTATTATTACACCCTCAGGTTTGAATTACAGCACCACGATCAACGAAGAAGCTGAAAGTGAAAATAACACTGCTGTTAACACGATTATGCGTGCCTATGAAAATTCTTAATACTATTTTAATGTTGTATTTCTTAATTTTCTAATAATTTAATAATAAAAATTTTCTTACCTTAATATGTGTTTTTAGTGCCGTATATATTGCCCAGCACACTTCTGGTATTAGTTGAGAAATTGCTGGTTTTGAGACACGATAAAAGTGACTAAGGAACCGATAGTTCATTCCTGAAGCCAAAAATGTCAGCGTTATTTCCAGTTTAATTTTGGCTGGTAAAGCATCTCTCATGAATGTATCATGTCGTTGAATAGAGCTCGACATCATTGACAGCAATTCGTCAAAATTCTGTGGTGACATCCTCATAGCCAGTTTGTACTCCGCAGGATCTTCAAATCGCAATTGCTTCAGCAACAAAGCAGAGCCACCAGTTTCGTTTCTATCGTCAATCCATTTTCTTACCCATTGTTGTTTATTTTTAGTTATCTCATTTTCTACCATTTCTATTAACTGAATGAGTTGCAAAATTGATAAATTTTTCAACAAATAATTATATCGTCGTTTCAGTTGTTTTCGCGAATTCATATTTCCCACTGACTTCACACACGTGTGCTCACCGTGAGAAACGCACCACTACTACTTACTTCATGTAAACAGTTAAAGTCAGTCGCGGCGCCGACATTGGCGCTGCGACGACATGTCTACTGACCCTGTGTAAATCAGCCATAAGTGAAAGAATTATGAAAGAAACTGATGTAAAAATTTAGGATGTGCAAGCGGGATTTAGAAAGGGAATGGGGTGTACAGATCAAGTCTTTTCCATGTGCATGATCGCGGAGAAGTTTTTTGCGAAAAACCAAAAAGTTTTTTGTGCGTTCATAGACTTGGAAAAGGCTTATGACAGAGTGGACAGGGATGTGTTGTGGTAAAAGCTGAACTCATTTAGGCTGAATGCTGGGTTGATACAGGCATAAAAGTCTCTGTATAGGGACTCGAGTGCTTGTGTTAGGATCAACGGGGCCTACTCAAAAAGTAGATGAATTTATATATTTGGGATGTGTATTCAGAAGGGATGGGAGATATGATAAGGATATTGAACGACGAGTGAATACAGGAAATAAAATAAATTTGGTTCTGCGCTCTATTGTTAAAAAAGTCACGTATGGCAATTCACAATGCTGTATTAGTCCCTACTTTAACATATGGTAGTGAAAGTTGGGTGTGGCAGAAGAAGCACGAGAGTGGAATAAATGCAGTAGAAATGCGGTCGCTAAGGCGTATGTTAGGGCTGAAATCTGAGTGACAGGGTGAGAAACTGTGTGATAAAAGAAGAGTGTAGTTTGCAAGATGATGCGGTGACCAGAGTTATGAAAGGAATGCTTCGGTGGTTTCGTCATGTGGAAAGAATGAATGAGGAAAGACTGACAAAGCAAATATATGTTGCAGAAGTTAATGGAAAAGTCGGAAAGGGACGTCCTAGGTGAGTTTGTCGACCAAATTGGCGATATATTAAAAATTGGCCAAATTAAGAGTACCCTTAACTGACGAGCATATATGCGTAGGTATATAGATGTGGAAGAGGCGAGAGAGGTATGTCCGGATCGTGTTAAATGGAAGTCTTTAGTCTCTGCCTACCCTTCTGGGTGACAGGCGTGAGTGTTTATGTGTTATGTGCAACATCTCTATGTGTTATTATTGCAAATTTCTCATGAACTGCTCTTTCATGTATAGAATAAGGATAACAAACGAGTATACAGTCCACCTGAAAATGGTAAATATTAAGTAGTAAGGATGCTGTTGCTTATATACATCTACATTTTTCCTCAATTAAGAAGAAAAATGCAGATGCGTTGTCACCCCTGAGGTCTCCCTCGTTTGCAGTAAAAAATGTCTCCGGTGCTCTACACTTACTGTACGAAACACAGCAGCATAAAGCTGATATTTGTCGCTGGTATTCTGTGAGCCGCTCGCCAAGCGAGGCAACTATGGCAAATACCCCCCAATGAATAAATACACAAACAGACGGCCCCCAGTCCCCGGCGGCCCCGCTATTCCTGGCTACGGTGGCGACCATGGTAACGGCGGGGCAGGGGGTGCTAAGAATCTCCGGTGGAGGTTCGGTTGCCACCTACGACGACTCGACCTGGCAACATATAACGCACGCACCCTGAGGACTGACGAGAAGATACTGGAGCTGGAAGAAGAGGTAGACAAGTTGCGCTGGCATATTATTGGATTATCCGAGGTCCGAAGAGAGGGGGAGGACACGGCAATCCTCGAGTCCGGCAACTTGTTCTATCACCGGGAGGGCGACCATCTGTCCCAAGGAGGTGTCGGATTTATCGTCCACAAATCTCTCGTCAACAACGTTGTAAAGATTGGGAGTGTGTCGACGAGGGTCGCGTACCTGATACTCAGAATCACCAAACGGTATTCGCTGAAGGTCATTCAGGTTTACGCACCAACCTCGGCACATCCCGATGAGGAGGTGGAGGAAATGTATGAGGATATTTCCAGAGCCATACATTCCTCCAAAACCTACTACACGGTGTTGATGGGAGACTTCAACGCAAAACTGGGCACAAGAGAAAGCGGTGAGCTGAAGGTAGGGAAATTTGGAGTAGGGCAACGGAACCGAAGGGGCCAGCAGCTGGCCGACTTTATGGAGAAAGAGGGACTCTTTATGATGAACTCTTTCTTCCAGAAGCGGCCCCACAGGAAGTGGACCTGGTCGAGCCCCGACGGTTCGACAAAAAATGAGATTGACTTCATTATGACGACCAGACGCCAACTGTTCAGTGATGTCTCAGTGATCGCAAGGGTGAAAACTGGCAGCGATCACCGAATGGTTAGAGGCACACTGAACCTAAACGTTAAGTTGGAGAGGTCTCGTCTAATGAAGTCAACGCTCCGTCCCCCTCGTGCTCTAATCCAGAATCCCGAAACCTTTCAGCTCGAGTTACGTAACCGCTTCCAGTGCCTAGAAGATTGCAATGCAGTGGACGATATGAACGACAAGCTCGTGGAAACTGTCCATGCGGTCGGAGCTAAGTTCTGCAAGACCCGCCGCAGAAGAACACAAAAACTCTCCGATCACACTCTTAATCTCATGGCTGTTAGACGGGAGATGAGGCTGCAATCGTCAACAGATTTGACAGCATACAGGCAACTGAACAGACAGATCTCCAAATGCATACGGCGAGACTTACGCAACTTTAATACTTCTCGTATTAAAGAAGCGATCGAGCGGAACCAGGGCTCCAAAGTCTTTGCCAGAGATCTGTCTGCCAGAAAGAGCCAACTGTCAAGGCTGAAGACTGAGTGTGGCAACATCGTTTCCGGGACACCTGAGATTTTGAGTGAGATTGAGAGGTTCTATGGGCAGCTGTACACATCATCGTTGGAGCCACACGCAAGTGTGAGTAACGATCCAAGAGCAAGTCTTATCCGACACTATTCCGATGATATCCCGGACGTCAGTCTAAGCGAGATTAGAATGGCTCTCCAGCACCTTAAAAACGGCAGGGCCCCAGGCGAGGATGGAATTACAGCGGAGCTTCTGAAAGCGGGTGGAACACCGGTACTTGAAGTCCTTCAGAAGCTCTTCAATTCCGTCCTCCATGGTGGCACTACTCCAGAGGCGTGGAGCAGAAGTGCGGTGGTCTTGTTCTTTAAGAAAGGCGACAACGCTCTCTTAAAGAACTACAGACCGATTTCCCTTCTGAGCCGCGTCTACGTGCTGTTTTCGAAAGTCATTACGAATCGTCTCGCACGCAGACTTGACGACTTCCAGCCTCCCGAACAAGCCGGGTTCCGAAAAGGCTTCAGTACCATAGACCACATACATACCCTGCGGCAGATTGTACAGAAGACTGAAGAGTACAATCTGCCACTTTGCCTGGCGTATGTGGACTATGAGAAAGCCTTTGATTCCGTCGAAATTTGGGCGGTGCTACAGTCCCTTCAGCGGTGCCAAGTTGACTGTCGGTATATCGAAGTGCTGAAGTGTTTGTACAGTAGGGCTACGATGGCTATCCGAGTACAGAACCAGAGCTCGAAACCTATCCAACTGCAGAGAGGTGTAAGACAGGGTGACGTTATATCCCCGAAACTCTTCACCGCTGCATTGGAAGACGTTTTCAAGCTACTGGACTGGAAAGGATACGGTATTGACATCAATGGCGAGTACATCACTCACCTTCGATTTGCCGACGATATAGTCCTTATGGCAGAATCGCTGGAGGACTTAAGCACTATGCTCAATGACCTCAATAGTGCCTCCCAACGGATAGGTCTTAAGATGAACATGGACAAAACAAAGATCATGTTCAATGTCCATGTCATACCTATGCCGGTAGTTGTTGGGAGCACTATGCTCGAAGTTGTTGACGAATACGTTTACCTGGGACAAATAGTCCGACTAGGTAAGTCCAACTTCGACCGAGAGGTCAATCGACGGATTCAACTCGGCTGGGCAGCGTTCGGGAAATTACGGCATATCTTTTCGTCAGGTATACCTCAATCTCTAAAAACTAGATTGTACAACCAGTGCGTGTTGCCAGTGATGACTTACGGATCTGAGACGTGGTCCTTCACTGCTGGCCGTATGAGGACGCTTAAGGTCGCTCAGCGAGCTATGGAGAGGGCTATGCTCGGAGTTTCTCTGCGTGATAGACTCAGAAATGAGGATATCCGCAGTAAAACCAGAGTGACCGACATAGCCCAACGGATTAGTAAGCTGAAGTGGCGATGGGCCGGCCATATAGCTCGAAGAACCGATAACCGATGGGGAAGAAAGGTTCTCGAGTGGCAGCCTCGTACCGGTAGGCGTAGTGTAGGGCGACCCCCACTAGATGGAGTGACGACCTGGTAAGACATGCAGGAAGTCGATGGATGCAGGTGGCTCAGGACCGTGCTTTGTGGCATTACTTGGGGGAGGCCTATGTTCAGCAGTGGACTTGTGAAGGGCTGTAATGATGATGATGATGATGATTCTGTGAGAGCGTAGTCCTACCTCAGTTGAGTTGAGTCCTACCATTCGTGTTACAATCATAGTATAGTTGCAGAATGGCTTTACTGAACGAACTAACATAAAGTACATTAATTGTACGGTGCGATAGTCATAGTGTATCAGTGTGTAATAAAAGTATAACACATGTGCTTATTTTTTTGGCCACTCATACTTATGTACTATCATCTTAAATCATTTCAACTACATAGCGATTAATTAATTTCACTATAGAAGAATCTGTAGAAGTCGCAGACTGTGTTCGTATAGTAGCAGTCTTTCGTAGAAAAACTCAGTCTGATATTAGGATATGACATAAACTGAATAGGTTTATCGCTATAAAAAACATTATTGGTTGCAACTGCGCTTAGACGGTACGTAAGCGTAGAAATTTGGTCTTCGATGTATTTCCACACATCGAAGGCCAACTTTCTCCAGCAACATAGTTTTTTTAAGGCGAAAGTATAGAGTTTGTACTGTTACTATAACAGCCTATTAAAGTCCACTACTAAACATACCTCATAGGAAGAATATTTGTCATAGTTGGCACGCTTGGCAAGCGTGTTGCCAACCGCAGTTTTTTACTTTTAGCCGTTATTTGGAGGACGCGGCTGCGTCCTCACGACACCCACATGATGATATGGGATAGCGGATACTCTTAACAGCCATGACACGGTATAGAGTTGTAGTGCAATGCATTACAGCTGCATGATGACGTACGTGCACGTTCTGGTCGTGTTGGTGATGCGCGGAGCCGGGTGTGGCGTGTGTGTTGCGAGTGGCGGGGGTGGCGGCGGTATCTGCGGCGGTGGGATCTGCGTAGTCGGGGGGCGCGGTGCGGCGGAGCGGCGCCAGCTCGGCCGCGCCCTCATCCGCCACGTACAGCGTCGCCTCCACCACGCCCATCGTCACGAACACCTCCACGTGCTCCCACGGATTACTGCACAAACCACATCCATCACTGATCATTACCACACCCTCAGATACTCATATTTCTTATTATAATACATATTACTCAACTTAATTTAGTAGATAGCTCTAATACTTAACTATCAACTTAAATATAATAACTCCTGCTATCTCAATCACATTAACTCAAAGTGTCACATTATCTTAAAATTGACGTAGCGTTTGAGTATTTGGCCAAGAGCCAGTATTCAAACTCAGTTCCAACTGATGGTAAATGGTCATTTTATCCTTAACAGTGATTTAGTCTTGCCTTAGAAATTCACGTTATAATAAATTAGAAAGACAAATCCTGTCAATTTTTAAAGGCCCTTGATGTACACAAGAACAACGAAGCAACTTTTTTAGTTATATTTTTTTCACTACGTCGAGCACTAAGTGACGTCACAGAACTTTGAAGGAACTATTTTTAAGTATATTAAATTTGTATAAAAAAATCGTACTGTATATATATATATATATATATATATATATATATTATTTTAATAATGTGCCACTTATCGCGTTACAGTAGCAGCGTAATAAACGTCACCACTATATACTTAATATAGTATAATATAATCCCGCAGATGTCGTGGTGACTGCCAAAGGGAAATGAAACAGGAAATCAAGTCAATAAAAACTGTGTGGCGAGCCGCCTGCTAAATGTTCGGCTATAGAAAATATGTTTGCGACCGAGTTTCTAGTGCTGTGTGTCAATTTACGGACGAGGGCTATATTTCGCAAGTGGTTTTGGGAGATGTAGTTTATTGTAATTTTTTTTAAATATTATAAAATTTTTGCAAACTATTTTGCTAAAGTAGAATTTTACACACTGCTTTGTCTTTGGCCTACATAAATAATTGTCACGTTAAAAACTGAACTGATTACATAAAACAATAATGTGAAATTATGTTTATGCAAAGGATCATAAATAAATGATTTTGCGACGAAACCAGTATTAAATAATAACTAAATGAAACCAATTAAAAAAAAATTACAAAACGGCACATTAATTTTAAAACAATTAAAAAATTACTATATTAAGATTTAATTCTCTTTGACACAAACACTCTTTTGTCACAATAAAAGTATACCCATTGTTGTACATATATGATAGTAAATGATAAGTGACACAAAATAGAACAAGAGTAGTGAATGTGAACTGACATATGGTCCGCGGGAGCTATGGAGACGTTCTTCTTAAGGGGAGGGTCTTCCGGCAGTCTAGCGGCAGAGTGTGAGGCGCTGGAGTCTACGCCGGAGTCCGCCACGCTTCGACCAGCCTCGCGACTTGCACCTGCACACAAAACACCAACTGCGCTAATCCGACAGCATGCAAGCAATATGTTTAGGTACTAGAAGAGACGCCGACACTTGATTGTTTGCAACACTCGTTACTGCCCACGAACTCAAAGTTACTTAATCTGTGCCATAAAAAAGTAGAGTGTAGAGATCCGGAGACCCTTTTTTTACTGGAAACGAGGTATTCCATCTTAGACCTCAGGGGTGACAACGCATTTGCATTTTGATTCTTAATCGAGGATAATTTGTAGATAGATGTCTATGGGCCACAGCATCCACTTACCATCAGGTGGACTGTGTGCTCGTTTGTCACGCTTATTCTATAAAAAAAAACATGCAAGCAATACACACGCAGTAGAAGTGAAATTCTATAAAAATTAAATGGAAAAAGGCACTTTGTGCCTCAGACGACGCGCCCTACACAAAGTTTATGTTCGCGGTGTCCGTCTCAATACGTAGAACAGTAGTCATACTATGTAGGAAGATATTAAAATAGAATTAATTTACAATCACAAAATACACGGATCACAGGTAATTCAACTATAAATTGTACTGAAACTAATTTAATAGCTGAAAATAATAATTCGTTGCCACGAATCAATTATCCGAATAGTATAGGATGAGCTAGAAGCGGGATACAACAAGTGAACCGTGCCACGCCAGAGCCATGACTACCTGCTCCGTTTTTTTGCCCGAAGCAAAAAGAGCGCCCGAAGCAAATATGGGCAACCCTCCGGAAAGCGGGGGGAGGAAGGCGATGAATGCTCATAGCATACCACGCAGCCGGCTGCGTGGTTATTTGGAGACTTTTACCCACTAAACTCCACCTTTTAGGGACTGGCTTAACGGTCTAACTAGAGATCTCTAAGCCGTATACGGACGCGACCCTCCTTGGCAGAAAGGAAGGCGCAAACCTGCTCCGTTGTACCCGTTGTTGCAAAAGAAGCCCAGTAGTGGAGCAGTGGGGGAAACAGAGCGACGCGCCGGGTGGCGCGATCAGTGCACGTGTTCTTTACAATTTTGCTGTACCGACGTACGACGGCACCGCCGTCATGCCGTCAACTACAATGACCGACACAAAATTTTGTTAAAACAACTTATACACTTTGCAGTTCATATAAACTACAGTTATTCTAAATATTAAGTATATTTACTTAATGAAATCTTTCACACCTACTCTTTAAAACTATTAATAAAAATAGCGGCGTGGCTATTTGCTGCAGTTTAAATGAAGCTGGTTACCATTGCCAACGTATTCCGTTAGTGCCATAAATGTAGTATTAACAGAAGTTAGAATAAATTGGCAATCCAAAAGAGAAAAGACATAGTGAGCGCGTGTGTTAGAGCGAGACCGATAGGCTAGACCATTCACGTAAACGCTATCAGCCTGTATCGATCTGGCGTCATTCGTCTGGCGAAACAATGCCTGCTTGGTTACTGAAAATTCAGGCTTCTAGTTATATCCACAACGAAGTTATAGGGGGGTCGAAAATGGCCTGAACTGGTTCGAGAAAAGGATGGTACGGCCGTGCCGCTTATTTGCTCGACTTGGCGGGCGCACTGCCGTGCCCCCAAATACAAGAAGTGATATAAGTTGCAGTATAAAGTATTAAAAATATCTGTTCTATATTCATACTCTATGCAGTTATTTGGTATGCATTTTAGCATCACATCAACAACATTCAGTTTATTTAAACAAATCTAGGTGATAAATTAATATTTTACCTTCGGCATCGCACTTAATGTCGATGACTGGCGCCGGGACCTGTTCTTCCAGCTCGGTCGTGATTAACGAAGCGTACGGACATAGCTCCTCTTCTTCAAGCAAAGACTGCTCGCTGTCTCTCCTGCTGAAAAATAAGAAACGTTGTTTATGCATCTGTATGCAATTTAATTTATAAGTCATAATTATTAATACAGAGTAATAGCTCCACTTACACATATTTGGAGTTACACACAAAACCACACAAATACTTTAAATGGCGTTTGAAGAACCATTATCTACTAAGCCAGGAATGCGTAATATTATGTTATGCGAAAATAACTTTATCGTAAAAAGTCGTAGTCATACCTGTTTTATTAGTATATCACCAAAAAATATTTCAAAAAAAAAATTACCTCGTTATAAAGTAAGAATTCCTTGCAATTGAAAAAATCCGGAGAACCGACTGGCAGTCCAACTTGTGGTGAATTATAGAAAGATAGTGCCTAATAGTTGATATCACCCTCCTAAACATTAGGGTTTCAAAATCTAACATACACAAGACAAATAACGAAAATTTACGTCGTATCCTAGTCTAACAAGCGTATATTTTTCCTCGTACGGATTCAAGGCTGCAGCTGCATATTCTAGTTTACATCGGACATGCGCATTATACAAAGTTTTAGCCACCCTTATATCATTAAAGTCAGCAGCAACACTCATCACATAACTCAGAGTCTTACCTACTAGCTAACTTGCAAATGGATAACTTATGATTATGAAAATCGAATTTAGTATCTAATATCAAATCTAAGTCACGTATGCCATATATCCTAAACCATGGCGCGTTATATAAGTTACAATTAATAATGATAGGATTCTATTTGAATGCAAAAGTAATAACCTTACATTTAGTCTCATTAAGAGGAAGATGGTTCAATTTACTCCATTCCGATACCGCATTTATGTCCTTTTGAAGAGCTTGTGCATCAGCAGCAATGCCATCCCCAAGCTTAATTTTAGAGTAATTCATAGAATATTATAATACACACACGAACGGGGGGTGGGGGGTGGCAATGCCTGTGCAGCCACTAAATAAAAATAAAAATCATTTTATTACGATACGATTATAATCGAATCTATCTCCGTATAGACATAGTCAACGTGTGCGTGTGCGATAAGGTTGGTATTTGTTGAGCGATTCTTTCGGAAACCATGTTGACTGTCAAGCAAAATGTTATCTAATTGTTTGCTTAATTATGAGTTAATTGCCGAAGATGTGATCATATGGTACAAATTCATATTTAGTTTTTTAAATATATTTTTTGATACTAATACTTGATTAAATGATTATTATTATTACTTGTGTTGTACGTCAAATGTCTATCGATAACACGTCTGTTGAGCGTGACGATAAAGGCAAGTCCTCCGTACAAAAGAAGAGGCCCATGCCGATCAGTGGAGTTCTAATGCTTTCATGAATAAGATATGTGTTATGCGTAGCGTTGTGTGGGCGGGTCGTGTGTGTGCGTGTGTGTGCGTGTATGCGCATGTGTGTACGTACCAGTGCGAGTAGACATCGGCCAAGCGTGCAAAGAGGGCGAGCTGGCACAGGCTGAGCTCGAGCGCGCAGTCGGCGGGCACGTCCAGCTCCAGCGCCGGCCCGCACGCTAGCGCCAGCGCCGGCGCCACCACGCACTGCACCTCCACACTGCGCCACCATCACGCAACAACGTCATACAACCTTCGTACACACTGTTTTTTATAGATTTAGGGTGACAAACGAGAAGATAGTCTACTTGATGATAAGTGGATACCCTGGCGCAAAACATCAGCACGTATCCTTAATTAATAATCAAAATGTAGAGGCGTTGTTACCCCTGAGGACTAAAATAAAATGCCTTGACCAGTAAAAAATGTATCCGTCTTCTATACTCTTACCACATGAAATTTACCATATACACTACATACCATTCGCAGCCGTATTCAGTTAGCATTTTAAGCTGGTACTCTGCGCAAACGTTATTCTTCCCCGTTATCCGTCGTCGTGCCGTATCATTTGGGCTTCTACTATAGTATAACTACACGCGTAATTAGGTTCTAACATACTCATGGATCATCAGTTCTTTGAACTGCATGACCAACCCATTATTACTTCAACCTACTAATGCGATGAGCTATGTTAGTTATTTTTCACGAATTTAACAAAATTAAAACTTAATATTAAATTCTTACGTGTGCAAAATCGGCGTGATGACGGGTGATATCGTAGGCTGACTCCATTTTAGTGCCGGGTTTTCTCCCCCCGTGCCTTTCATGATCTCCGACTCGCTAATCTAAAGTAAAATAAAAACTTTTTTCTGTCTTTCAAAAACATAGTCTACCTCAAAATTTTATTTTATTTTGAAGTGTTTCTATGATATGATGCTGAATGGTATAGTATTATACCAACTTTAATGCTCAATAGACTTATTGCCCAACACACAGAACTTCTTGATCAACATTTATAATTTTCGGGTGAATATAAAAAAACATTGTAAGTTTTTTTCTATTAATTCAATAAATTGTAACAACTTATCGCAAGGTATTATTAGAAATCCATACTGTACATCCCTGCTCATATTTACAGCATTTTCAGATCTTTTGACCATCAGTTTTATTTTGTCACATTGGCGTCGATTGAGACATTTTCTTTATCAATAACCTGCGACATAAAACGAGGGCATTCTTCTCAGGTAAATCGAAATTGTAATCGTTAATTTTTACATCAAACAGTGTAAGGTTATTTGGAGTATTTGACATTTCTGATGAAAGTTTATAAAAAACATTGCTATCATCAACTTTTATGGGGAGTGAATCATAATCTTCGTCACAGTTAGTAACTTTCAGCGTTTTAAAAATATTGGAAACAAATATTTTTTAGAACGTATTACTGATTTGTCGAAGCTCTTGACAATTTCCACCTGCCTGGCTCAATTTTTCAAAAATGTACGAAACAATTAGGAGACGAACAACAATACCTCCGTCAATACAGACAGTAATTTGGTAAACCTTAAATACGTAACTATATACTTCTGTAATTTATACTTAAAAAGGTTTGGTAATTATAGATAGATATAGATATGTAACTGCCTAACCAGATCCTTTGGATATACAATAAAAAAAGAAATCTCCTTAGTTTTTCAAGCATTATTTGTACACACAGTACAAGCAACAGTTTAGAATCTTTAAAAACAAAACTAAACGTCCGCGTCCACGTGACGCCGCCAGTCGCACACCTTAACTTTGTCCTCCTACTGAGCGTGCTCAAACCGGATAGTACCTTAGCGGGCGCTGGTGCACGCCCCCCGTGCCTCGTCGATGACAAGTTACTAACACATAACTGTGCGGGTTTTAGTGTTCTTGAGAACGGTGGTAATATGAAGCTTTCATTTTGCTCTGTTTTATATTCTTGTGCTAGTAGTATACATAGAAATGTTTGAGTGCTACATGGGGCGCTGGTGTTGATGCGTGGTACAGACCTCCTGGCGCACGAGCTGGTGGAAGCGCGCGGTGCGCAGAGCGAGAGCACGCACGTGCGCCGCGTACTGTCGGCCCGCCGGCGCCCCGCCCCCCGCACCCTCCGCACCCCACCGCACCGCACGCCTGCACGCGCACACACACACACACATAAATAATATACTTTAACAATATAATAGTGTGAAAACTTGAAAAGATTGTAAATTTTTGTGCAGCTAAGTTTAAATAAATAAATAAAGGTTATGTTCACATTTTTGCTCATACATAAAGTTATTATAAACACCAATTTCAATTTATTTTTATTTTCTAATCACTAGTTAACTTTCAAGTTTTTTTTTTAATTTTTACTAACAATGAAGCCTGAGAAATTTGTTATCTTTGTCATTAAAAATAATACAATCGAGTCATCAATTGACATTCTACGGCCTACAGAGACTACGCATACTGCTTACAACCAAATGTAACAAACCAATGTTACAAATATCGCTTTTCGCATACGTTGTTCCGATGATCAAATAACCAATGACCATGAGAAACAGATTCACCTAAAATAACTGCTATGAATCCTTGACAACTTGACAAACGAGCACACACTTCACTTGATTCAGAATCACATTCCTCGATTAAAAATCAAAATAGAGATGCGTTGTCACCCGTGAGAACTAAGATGGAATGCCCCGTTTCCAATAAAAAAGGTCTTCGGTTCACCAAAACAGCAAGCATAATGCTGCAATTTAGCGCTAGTATTCTGTGAGAGCGTGGTCCTTCCCGAGCGAGACGACCCATTCGTGTTAGAAACATAATAGAGTTGCAGCATGGCACTACCAGTTATAAAAAATTGATGGGGAAATGACTGGCTTTTACCTTTTATAAATGTAGTAACCTTCGTACATTAATAAATTCAAACTTTAGAAGTAATATAGTCAACGCATCGGTTAAAATAAATCAATTGCCGTTAGCAAACCAGCGGAGATGAGATCATATATTTTATAAAAAAAAATCTAAAATATTACATACATTTAACAAGAATACAAATAGTACATTTGTCAACATAAAATGAAAAACAGATATTTAAATTACTATATATTCGCTACAGTTTATTCAAAACAAATTAATTTAAATATGTTCGATCTAGAATACATTATGACAACATGATTTGGACATAAAATTACATTTTATATATTGGCTTCAAAAATAATAGTTATAAGACTACTAGCTCCCGTACTGGTTATAAAATGTAATACGGCGCAGTTATACAGATAGTTAGCTATCTTTAAATTACTTTATAGTAGTACTATTTAAACATTGCGAAACGTTTTTGGCACCATCTTTTGTGCCTACGTCTGTGTCATACGTTTAGTGCACAAGTCACAGACAGCTTCTTGATCTTAATCCGAGTCGTTTACAAGCAACATATAATATGCAGCAACAGGGAATGTTCAATTTACCTGCAAATTGGGTTTTCTGGGTGCGGAGTGACGGTCACTTTACCGACCTGTAACATTAACAATAGTATTCTATATTTGTAATAATAACAATATTCGACTGTTATCAAAAATACTCGTGTGTACGTTTGAAACGGCTTGGGAAATATAATCAGATTTTCACCAAGTCAAATATAGCCCGACAAGAGTGCTTCCATAAAACAGGAGGGATTAAAGTCCGGCAGTGGGCTTTTACGAGCTCATTTTAGTTGAGTTGTTAAGATATGTGTACCAATCGCAGAGCGGTACATACGATAATCATGAAGGTATCATCCTCCACGCTGTCCTCCTCGTCCTCGCCCGTCAAGAGCAGCCGCAGCCCGCCCGCCGATATGTACACGAACGGCAGTTGCCATGTGCTGGGCCTGCAAAATGAACATTTATTTTATTGCCTAATTTAGAGTTGTTTTTAATAATTGAAGCTGAGTTATGGCTAGTATATATGTGTGAATGATAAGCTAAAATTTATTGTTGAAATAGATTGTTAGTGTGGGATTTCAGTTAAGCACAGTAACTTTATTAGAATGCTGCATGTTAGCTGCGTATGTAAGAGAATCAACTACCCCATATCATTCTGTAGGTGTTGTGAGAGGCGATACGGGAAATTGAAACTATGAGCCCAACATCTTCATGATCTAACTTAAAATGTTTAAAAAAGTGTCATGTGTGATAAATATTCCTTTTATTAGGCAATTTATGGATGAGGTCTATGTTAGGTGAGGTCAAACATAGATTGTGTTTCGTATGGGGAGTGTAGGTGTAGAGATCCGGAGACCCTTTTTTACTGGAAAAGAGGCATTCCATTTTAGTCCTCAGAGGCGACAAAGCATTTGCATTTTGATCCTTAATCGAGGATAAATGAAGATATCTATGGGCCACAGCATCCACTTACCATCAGGTGGACTTATTTGTCACAGCGGTGCTTATTTGTCACCCTTATTCCATAAAAAAATGTAGCTGTGCGGTAGGCATTCCTCAACCTCACCCCATTGCATCTCGTATGTACAATGGAAGTGATCTACTAATCTACAATTTATAAGTATGGTCTAATAATACAATTATTGAGTATTCTTTTTTCAATTTAAAAAAAGTATTCCATCCGTCACGATCGAATTTCGGTTTGAAGGACATTATGCCAATAAATAAGGGCGCCATACACAGCGGGATTGACTGACGTGTGCATGGCGAGTGCATGCACGTGTGCGTGTGCGTTCTGTGAGCGCAAGGGGCAGTGCGCGCACGCACGCAGTAGGCGCAGCAGGTCGGCCGCGTGCCGCAGTACATCTGGCCGCAGCACCGCCTCCAGCGGCGCCACCGTCGCATACACCTCCCACATACTGTCCCCCACCTGCACCCAACAAACACTTACTAATTACTTATACTTCTTCAACAACTATTGGATATCGCTTTTTTCAAGTCTGTCCAATGGATTAGAAGGTCAGAAAAAATCACGTTTAATCACGAATTTAGTAGTAGTAAGCAATGTGTACAACCACGTGCATTTTTTCGTGCGACGACAAAAGTAATTTAATGGATAACGTGTAATCATCATCATTATTCATCATCATTACAGCCCTTCAAAAGTCCATTGCTGAAGATAGACCTCCCCCAAGGAACGCCACATAGCACGATCCCGAGCCTCCTGCATGTCCTACAAGGTCGTCACTCCATCTAGTGGGGGGACGCCCTACACTTTGCTTGCCGGTACGAGGGGCTGCCACTCGAGAACCTTTCTTCCCCGTCGAGTCTTCGAACTATATGGCCGGCCCATTGCCACTTCAACTTACAAAACCGTTAGGCTATGGGATAAAATAAATTGCATTGTGTGATCATGTTAAAACCACAGCGAGTCTGTCCAAAAAATCCGCAAACCATGCGCCACTTGCAAATGGTAGATTTTACAATTGGTATCATCTAACAGTCTTCTGTTCTTATTATGATTATTATGCACTGTCTACATTATGCTCCACGAAATATTGCAACATTCGTCTTTACTAATAAGCCTGCAAGAACCATATTCTATCGCGATGAGAGAAGAATGGAACTATTGAACCGGGAGTTGTCTGGCAAAACAGTCAAGCAAACTTATGATTCGAAAGATCCGCCTTTTAAATATGTTCTAATTATGTTATTTTACACAATAAAACCTTGAAATTCTACCTCAGTATCTTTCAATAAGCAAACTTGTAAACCTCATGTCAACCCAGAAAGCTTTTCTATCATAGTGACTAAAAGTTCAACTGTAATAAAGTAAAAAGAAGTTTATATTAATATTTATGCTTTCCAGATTCTAATTTTACGAGTATGATATAACAATTAATATAGGATATAAAAGTGGCCTAAAAATCTAACGAAAATATGTAGCCCCACCACCAACATGCGGGTAGTGGGTTACATGTTTGTAAATAGATATCACCACCAATCACAGGTATACTCATTTCGCAAATGATATAGATTAATCAAATATAAAGTGCATCACGACATAAGTAACATGCATTTATACACTATCGTTAGTAGATCAATAATTCTCAGTTTTGTATAATCAATGTTACAATAAATCTGAACTTTGAACTTGTTTTGCAAAATCCGTGGATAATATTCTGTACAGAATTTGTATCATATTACTATACATTAATAACACTTACACCTTTTTCTTCCAATAATTTTGGATGTAATTCTTCCCTCCAGCTAGCAGGTAAATTTGATATCCTGAAAATGATAAAATAAACTAAATAAAAACATACAAATGCAAAAGTACTAAGCTAAAAGAACAAATTAATTATTCTTATAACACAAAATCCCGATTGCTCAGTGATATAAATTGATTCGGAAACGTATGAGTATACACCGTTTATGTAACAAAAACCTAAATTTCTATTGTGTAAATATTTCATATTCACATAATTGTACAAAAATAAAAGATGGTAATATTTTTTACTGTCGTTTATTGGCATCGCAACAAAAAATTACACACTTAATTATTCTTTACATACGTCTTATACTCTATCGTCTCAGGTCATCTGATGCAATCGCAATGTGAATCTATATTGATATCACTGACCTCTATATATACAAGTACGCTGGACTGGCTATACATTGTGACATGATGAGGCAATTTGATTTGCGCCATTTTGGCGCTGACAGCAGAAGTGCACGCCCACGGAACTAATAATAGGGATAAGACAATGTGACAAAATATATCATAATATATTTATAAGAATAGATATATTATGATATATTATAATATAGAATATTGTTATTATATTAGATAAGAATTTTATTCCTCTATACGTGGTAGAGCCATGCTGCAGTTATATTAGTAGTGGGTCGGCTCGACCGGGGAAGGACCACGCTCTCACAGAATACAAGCGTCAAATAGTAGCTTAATGCTGCTGTGTTTCGTATGGTGAGTGTAGAGAACCGGAGACCCTTTTTACTGGAAACGGGGCATCCATCTTAGTCCTCACGGGTGAAAACGCATCTGCATTTTGATTCGTAATCGAGGACAGATGTAGATGTATATGGGCCACAACAACCACTTACCATCAGGTGGACTGTGTGCTCGTTTGTCATCCTTATCCTATAAAAAAACCCTACCTATACCTAAATAAATAGAACGACTCTACCCATAACGTCCATTCTATTTATGTGTCATATTAATATAATGCCATTATCATTCATCATCATTACAGCCCTTCATAAGTCCGCTGCTGAACATAGGCCTCCCTCAAGGAATACCACAGAGCACGGTCCTGAGCCACCTGCACCTATCAACTTCCTGTATTTCTTACCAGGTTTTCACTCCATCTAGTGGGGGAACTTCCGACCCATTACCTGCCCGCAAGAGGCTGCCACTCGAGAACCTTTTACCCCATCGGTTATCGGTTCTTCAAGCTATATGGCCTGTCAATTGCCACTTCAGCTTACTAATCCGTTGGGTGATATCGGTCACTCTGGTTCTACTGCCGATATACTCATTCCTAAGTTTATTTTCCTAAGCTTTCCAGCTTCGGCAGTGCCACGTATACTAGGGGGCTTGACATGGGTTTTTGATCGAACACTTAATTGCCTTTGTCGGTGGATTTTGTGCAAGAGGAAGCTGCCAAAAACCGTGAATGTAAACGATGGCTAGAATTTGTAAATAACAAATAAACTAAAGTAGGGCCACTACGAAGTTTTAATGAAATAATAAAACTCGCTTGGTGGTTTGCAATAGACTAACTTTTATTCATAGTCACCTATAACAGAGTAGGCAGATTTACACTCATATACCAATAGATGGCCTTAGTTGTATTTTGTTATTAAGTTACAATTTATTTATAATACCCTCTCTTAACAAAATATCCCGATAATAAGTTTTAAAAATTCAGTTTACAAATGGTTATAAGTATATTAACAATAAAAACAATTTTATAAAATACATACTTATTTTAATTTACTTCCCCTATTCCTATCAGATCTATAAATTTGTAATGTTAACAAAGTGCTTTAGTAAATATATCTGCTGGCATAGAAGAGGTTGGTACGTAACTAATCTTGATTTTATTATTCACCACACATTCTCTACTAAAATGATGGCGTACATCAATATGCTTAGTGCGTTTGTGGAACATCGAATTAGAAGCCAATTTTAAAGAACTTTGACTGTCACTGTACAAGCTTAAAGGTTAATTTTTACAATACACACCAAGTTCTAAGATTAAATTTTTCAAATAAACTGCTTCTTTACAAGCTCTGCAGCATATACTCGGCCTCAGTACTAGACAGGGCAACTGTTCTTTGCTTTCGAGACTCATAACTTATCACACAACCTGACAATATAAAACAATATCCTGTATAAGACCTTCTATCAATGTTACAAGTTGCCCAGTCGGCATCAACAAAACCATATAAATCAGTACTATTTTTCTTGAAAATTAAGCCAAAATCTTTAGTTTTTTGCAAATATCTTAACAATCTTTTCAAATGTTTCCAATTTGTTTTGTTATAACATGTGTTATATTGGCTCAGAAAGCTTACACTATAAGAAATATCTGGCCTTGTGAGAACTGAAAGATACATCAGTGATCCAACCAATTGTTGATTAGGATGTCTTACTAAAATGGTCATTATCGACCCTTTCTAATTTTAAATTTACTTCCATAGGAGTGTCTGAAGTTTTGCAATCAGCCATATTAAATATTTTCAAAATATTGTCAATGAATTTCTCTTGGTCCAAGGTTACATAATTCTTTTGAACATTTACATTCATGTCAAGGCAATTTTTGTTTGACCTAAATCTTTAATTTTGAAATATGACTCTAATACACTTATCAACCCTTTGTAAGTTTTATTACAGTTGTAAAATACAAAAAATCATCAACAAATACAGCTACATAAACTTTTAAATTATTATGACATTTCATGAATAGACAGGGTTCATATTTAGATTTCTTAAAACCTAACTTTAACAAACTGGATTCCACTTTTATGTACCAGGCCCTAGCTGAATGTTTTAGCCCATATATGGCCTTTTTTAACCTTAAAACTTTATTCTCACAATTTTTAAAATTAGAATTTTCTGGTATTTCCATAAATACACATTCATCAATATTACCATTTAGGAAAGCTGTTGGTACATCTAAATGAACACTCAAGGCAAAAAGTAGTCTCAAGGTAGAATAACGCACAGCAGGACAAAATGTTTCATTGTAGTCCACATCTTTGATTTGAGTGAAGCCCTTAGCCACAAGTCGGGCTCTATAGCGCACATTGCCACTACTGTCACATTTCTCCCTGAATACCCACTTGTTTTTCACTACTGTGCCCTCACTCGGCCTATCCACTAAAACCCACGTGTCATTGTCCCTAAAAGATATCAGTTCTTCTTGTATAGCCCTGCACCAATGCTCCCTTTTGGGTCCCATGAGGGCGTCCTGTAGAGATATTTGTTCACTAGTAAAGTCTTCAACACACATATTGGAAAAACCGTACCTCTCTGGTACACGACAACCACGCTTCTCTTCTTGAATGACAGCATAACTTTGAGTAGCGACCAAACTGTCATCTGTTCTAAAGCACTCACTATATTCGTCATCCTGATCACTTGACGAATCACTTGCAATATATGTTGGATCTTCTCTGTCTGATCTCTCATTATCTTCAATGCTTATTGAACTTTCCTCTTCAACACCTGTATTCTTTTCTATATCTTTGTCTGGCGCCCTCTCTTCAACCATAACCTCTACTGTTTCATTCATATCGCTCTCCATGACTACTACATCCCGTGCCACAGTTATTTTATTTGTTTTCTAGTCATATAATCTGTAGACTTTGGTATTTTCTGAATACCCAACCAAATGTAACATTTGCGATCCAATCTCACTTTGGAATGTGGACCATAACTGGACTCCCAAACACACTAATATGTTGTAGATCGGGTTTCCTGCCAGTCTACATCTCATATGGGGTAGTATTATTGTCCAAAACTGCTGCTGGTGATCGATTTTTCAAATAAACTGCCGTATTCACAGCCTCCGCCCATAGGTGTTTGTAGAATGAAGCGTCATGCAGAAGACAGAGCGCTTTTTCTACAATTGACCTATTGTATCTTTCACTTAAGCCATTCTGTTCCGATGTATAGAGAACTGTCTTTTGATAAACTATCCCATGTTGCTTTAAGTAATTTTCCATCTCCACTGAGCAGAATTCCCCACCGTTATCGGACCGCAATATCTTAATCTGTTGTGACTGCTGATTCTCTACCTGCTCTTTGAATTCACGAAAATACTTAAAAGTCTCATTCTTTTCCTTTAGAAAGTAAACAAAGCACATCTGGCTGTAATCGTCAATAAACAACAGATAGTATCTAGCCAAACCAAGTGATTTCTTCTCCATGGGGCCACACAGGTCTGTATGAACCACTTCTAGGACCCTGCTGCTCGTGCTGGTACTAGTAAAGAAAGGCAACCTGCGTTGTTTGCCTTCGCAGCAAACTACACAATTTGATTTGCTTATATTCTGTTTTTTCTGGTAAGTTACACCTTTGACTGCTCCTTTTTTTATTTTCTCAAGGTCATTCGTATTTATATGACCCAATCGTCTGTGCCAAATGTTGCACGAGGTCTGTGCAACTGCCGCTGAAAGCTGCTTCAACCTTTCAATATTTAATTTGTGCACTCCATTTTCCAAGCTCGCTTCACCAATACAAACATTCTGAGTGTTGTAGATGTAACATCCATCTTTATTGAAGGATACTCTGTTACCATTTGCGATCATTCTGCTGACTGAAAGCAAATTTGTGGTGAGTGTTGGTATGCGCAAAACATTCTTTATTTCTACTTCATGTGTGATTGTTTTCACTCGCGTAGTAAGCCGAAGATCTCCTGAGCACAACACTGAAACTTTGGTGCGATCAGCGACAATTATTTCTTTCACTTTCGGCTCATAAGATATGTTTGTCAACATGTTCTACATATTACATTACAGAAACGCCACCTACAGGCGCATAGTGGCAGTAGCAAAAATGAAATGAAACCGTCACATGTCAGTAGAAATGTCAATGTCAATACAACCCAGAAAAAACAAATTCGTTTTTATAGCGTCAGCACTTATCTTCAATCCTGAATGTTCGATTGCCATTATCATTGGGCTAAATCTTTCTGGCAGTGTTGCCAGCAACAAAGAGCCGATCCATTCGTCGTTTATTTCGAATCCGGTGCCCTTCAATCGCTGAGCCGTTTCCACCATCTGATTAACGTAACTGGTCATACTATAACAACTCTCCAAACGTATTGATATTAGGCTTCTTAGGAGAGTAATCTTGCGCGTAAAACCAGAATCATCGAACAATGATTTCAGTTTGGCCCACAAAGCTTGTACCGTGGCTTCGGTTTTTATATGGACAAACAACGACGGATAGATTGTCATAATTATTTTTGCTCTCGCCTTCTTATTTTCAGCTTCCGTTAGCCCCGTAGTTCTGGTTACATCTATGCCTTCCAGAATCATGAAGTTTTCGGCGGCAAACGCTCAGTCGCCGTAGTTCTCGCGTCCTTTTAGTTTAGGAACGTTCACTGAGTAATTACCTGACGACATTTTAGCACTGACAGTCTATAAAAGGAAGGAACACCGAAAGTCAAACGCTAATAACTTTTTACTTTTCAACTGGGCCCATAACCTAATGAAGTAATAAAACTCGCTTGGTGGTTTGCAACAGACTAACCTTTATTTATAGTCATCTATAACAGAGTAGGCAGATTTACACTCATATACCAATAGATGGCCTTAGTAGTACGATATTTTATTATTAAGTTACAATTTATTTATAACAGTAGGGCCACTAGGAAGTTAAAGCACAAATTAAATCTTGAGACTCGAAAGATAATTAAATCTCTAGACTCGCACTTACTAAAACCCCATGGTGTTCTACCTCTGCCTCAAATTGACAGGCCACGGAAATGCTTTCTTGCACACGGCACATGCATGCGGCCCTGGCATCTGGCGCCAGCCGCCCAATCGCAGCCCCTCCTTAGTTGCTGACTTCTCCTCCTCGTTTTTCTTCTCAAATAAGGCGCACCCGAAACACAAGGCACACTGCCCTTCACGGCCTCTGACTCCACATGCACTATGGATTCCCCGAGTCCGATATGTGAATGGAGCCAGGAAAAAACGAGCACTTGGAAGCATCAAGTGGTGCAGCCTCACCAAAGTCGCGAAGGATAGTCGAATGGCATCGCATCGCCAATCGACATACCAACACTCCTTTTCCGTGACGACTTCACCTCGACCACAGTGGTACAGAGAGAGGAATCTCTTCTAGCCGCAGCCCACTAACACACATCCAACATGGCTCGACATGATCAGGTGACCATTCAACACTTGGCTATGGTCCTGAAGTTTGTGGGAAAATGAGGAAAGAAGAAATTAAAAAAAAACATTCGAAATAATAATCTAATACTTTTATACTTACTGGTTACCAGAACATATTGTCGGAATACTGCACTTTTTCAAAGTGGTGTTGTTCTCATGTCTAATAAAACAGTCGTCTGTGAAATGTTCAGAAAAAATATGATCATTTTGTTTCGGACGCCAATTCACCATATTTATGCTTTTAAGCCATAATTTTAGTGTATGTTCAGTTGGAAACCTGTTAATTAATAAACATTTGATAATCATCTGTTTTTGGCGACTTTGTTTGTTAACACATATGGGTAGGAAAGAACATCGATAAGTATTATAGACAAGGAACTCGACAACCCTATTGAATTTTATTGTTTATCAAAACTCACTAATATACAGCCAAACATGTTGGTATATATGATATTAAGATTAGTAACAAATTTTTAAGTATTTATATTATCAAATAGTTTTAATTTGTTTGATAGTAGCTGCAAATCCACTTACTTGTGAAATGTTATACCACTTCCCTTTAGGTAACGAGTTTTACAGATTACGCACACTCTCATTATTATTAAAAATAATTCTTATTATGTAACTAATATTATACACAATCAAACAACATAAAATACCATCGTTTTTTAGTTTTTAAAAGCTCATAATACAGATTTTTTAAATAACAGAATTTAAATAACACAACAGACTTTGGCATACTATGTCAATTTCAGTTTCCAAGACGACCGTTCAAATTGACACAGACATTTTGTATGGTATAGCCAGTCCAGCGTACTTGTATATATAGAGGTCAGTGATTCATATCCAGTACACATTTATCAATTATGATTTATTTATGTAAATTCGAGGATTTTTAGAAATTGTATTTAAATAACAAAAATATCATTTTGCTTTTGGCCTCAACCACAGTCGCATAAACATAAAATATTTACAAGTATAGTTCTGGTGCTTTTGATATTCAGAAATGTAATAAAACTAATTATAAAATAAAATGCGTTTTGTGGAATTTATTTGATTAGACCTCCCAGTCTGAGTGTGGCTGAAGACTGAGTGTGGCAGCATCGTTTCCGGGACACCTGAGGTTTTGAGTGAGATTGAGAGGTTCTATGGGCAGCTGTACACATTATCGTTGGAGCCACACGCAAGTGTGAGTAACGATCCAAGAGCATGTCTTATCCGACACTATTCCGATGATATCCCGGACGTCAGTCTAAGCCAGATTAGAATGGCTCTCCAGCACCTTAAAAACGGCAGGGCCCCAGGCGAGGATGGAATTACAGCGGAGCTTCTCAAAGCGGGTGGAACACCGGTACTTGAAGTCCTTCAGAAGCTCTTCAATTCCGTCCTCCATGGTGGCACTACTCCAGAGGCGTGGAGCAGAAGTGCGGTGGTCTTGTTCTTTAAGAAAGGCGACAACGCTCTCTTGAAGAACTACAGACCGATTTCCCTTCTGAGCCGCGTCTACGTGCTGTTTTCGAGAGTCATTACGAATCGTCTCGCACGCAGACTCGACGACTTCCAGCCTCCCGAACAAGCCGGTTTCCGAAAAGGCTTCAGTACCATAGACCACATACATACCCTGCGGCAGATTGTACTGAAGACTGAAGAGTACAACCTGCCACTTTGCCCGGCGTATGTGGACTATGAGAAAGCCTTTGATTCCGTCGAAATTTGGGCGGTGCTACTGTCCTTCAGCGGTGCCAAGTTGACTGTCGGTATGTCGAAGTACTGAAGTGTTTGTACAGTAGGGCTACGATGGCTATCCGAGTACAGAACAAGAGCTCGAAACCTATCCAACTGCAGAGAGGTGTAAGATGAAGTTATATCCCCGAAACTCTTCACCGCTGCATTGGAAGACATTTTCAAGCTACTGGACTGGAAAGGCTACGGTATTGACATCAATGGCGAGTACATCACTCACCTTCGATTTGCCGACGATTATAGTCCTTATGGCAGAATCGCTGGAGGACTTAAGCACTATGCTCAATGACCTCAATAGTGCCTCCCAACAGATAGGTCTTAAGATGAACATGGACAAAACAAAGATTATGTTTAATGTCCATGTCACACCTATGCCGGTAGTTGTTGGGAGCACTATGCTCGAAGTTGTTGACGAGTACGTTTACCTGGGACAAATAGTCCGACTAGGTAAGTCCAACTTCGACCGAGAGGTCAATCGACGGATTCAACTCGGCTGGGCAGCGTTCGGGAAATTACGACATATCTTCTCGTCAGGTATACCTCAATCTCTAAAAACCAGATTGTACAACCAGTGCGTGTTGCCAGTGATGACTTACGGATCTGAGACGTGGTCCTTCACTGCTGGCCGTATGAGGACGCTCAAGGTCGCTCAGCGAGCTATGGAGAGGGCTATGCTCGGAGTTTCTCTGCGTGATAGACTCAGGAAATGAGGATATTCGCAGTAAAACCAGAGTGACCGACACAGCCCAACGGATTAGTAAGCTGAAGTGGCAATGGCCGGCCATAGTCGAAGAACCGATAACCGATGGGGAAGGAAGGTTCTCGAGTGGCAGCCTCGTACCGGTAGGTGTAGTGTAGGGCGACCCCCACTAGATGGAGTGACGACCTGGTAAGATATGCAGGAAGTCGATGGATGCAGGTGGCTCAGGACCGTGCTTTGTGGCATTACTTGGGGGAGGCCTATGTTCAGCAGTGGACTTGTGAAGGGCTGTAGATGATGATGATGATGATGAGACCTCTCAGGGCTCTCTACATATTATATTGTAGTGTAAATAATATTCATAGTATTTTAAACTATATTACGATATTTTATTTTCATCAGTTTTGTGTGTATGTGTGTTTGTGTCACTCACTGCGCCTGGGTGACGGTGACCGCCAAGAAGTGGTTGTCTTGCTTTGCATCGGCCGGCTCGCGCGCCTCCAGCACGCGCCCGCCCAGCGCGCCTGCCTCCCAATCCTCATTGTCCCCCCGCCTGCCAGTACATACAGTACCAGTATAATTCACACTCTTTATCAACATGATACATCATCATTAATGTTACAACATCATTAATTGCCGTCGGCATCGGTTTCGGTCGACAGTATAAATTAACTTTCCGGCTATGAAATTCTCAAATATTTCACCTCTTTTCAAAGTGGCGCCGCCCTGGTTGCACAGAAATAGTCGTGGATGGATTTAGGATAAATGTATTTGTCTATAGGCCACAGCATCCACTCACAATCATGTGACTGTGTGCTCGTTTGTCACCCTTATTCTATTTAAAAGAAAACTGTAACATTAGGACGTCGAACTGCTTAGTCTCCACGTCACTATGGATGATATAAAATACTCAAAACGTGGGGAATAAAAAGGAAGTTATTATATGCGATAAAATCCGTAAAAACTAGTTTTAATTAAACATGTAATGTTCCGGTAAATATAGGAAATGATTGTGTAGTGTGTAGTGTGTAGCGTGGGTGGCCTGCGGCCCAACGAAATACCGTCGGTAGTGTCGCAGAGTGGCGGCTGCGAGCTTGAGTTTGAGCTGCGCGTAGTGCGGCTGCAGGTCGACGGTGAAGATGAGGTCGTCCGCGACGGCGGCGAGGCGCGCGCGCCGCGTGGCCACCGCCAGCGACGCGCGTGACACCACCCACTGCACCCACACGAACCGCTTCACCATACCTGCGCACGACCGCCTCGCGCTGTCTTATGTAAGCCACACACGTTACGGTTTAAACAAAACGTTTGCACGTGCAACTTTGTCTGTTTTTCGAACTTGCGCCTGTTACCTGTGCAGGTATACATCTCCGACAGGCCGTATCGTGTACAGCCAACGTGACAACTATGGAAAATATCTCCCTTATGAAACAGTAGGGGGGCCTAAGTTCAGCAGTGGAATTTAGTAGGCTGTAACGGTAACGGTTTTGAAGCGCCTAAAAATACAATAGCACAGCTTTCTATACAATGCACGGACTAGCGATTTTTTTTTGTTCAAAAACTGATATTAAAAACATAACTGGCTACGTTCGGCTAGCGGTTCGCAAGCGCGCGACCTTTTTTATCTTATAGTAAAGCTAATGTATCTTTAAACATTTTTACTATGATTAAAAATAATGCTTTTAAGACAAATCATTCAATCAATACACAATTAGAAAAATTAAACCAGGAGCTTTGGCAGGTGTATAAAACTGTGTGCAGGGAATGGGCAAAACCAAAGCCAAACACAGGCTACTTGCTAGAAAAAATATGGTGATACCGACATAAAAACCGAGTAATTGAGGGCCTGTCTCGAGGCCTTATAGTGATTACCGCCGCCCATGAACAACTACAACAACAAGAGAATTGCAGATGCATTGTCGGCCTTTTAAAAAAGAGTAGGCCCTTTTCTTAAAGGTCCCTAAGTCGTATCAGTCCAGAAAAGTGTCTGGTGGGAGTCGATTCCAAAAAGTTGTGCGAGGAAGAAAACTTCTTTTAAATCGCACAATGGTGGATCGCCAGTCATCCAGATACTATGGATGGTATCGCGCGGTTATCGCGATGTGCGATGGTGAAATTTAGGGCGGGAATTAGTCCGAACAATTCCTCACAGCACTCCTCGTGGTAATCGCGATAAAATACGCAAAGAGATACAACATCTCTTCGCAGTGCCAGTGAGTCAAGCCAATCGGAAAGAGCTCGATTGCCAACAATTCGAATGGCTATGCGCTGGATGCGAGCAAATGGAAGGAGCTGGCACTGGGGAGCCTCAGCACAGAGATGGGAACAGTATTTCATGTGCGGGCAAATCTGCGCCTTGTAAAGTTGCAGGCAGTGTGCCGGCTGTCCCGTTTTGCTGAGCACGCCAAGCTTTAGAGGCCAATTTGGCCTTCTCTTCCAAGTGACCACGAAATTGCACGTCACTCGATATGTCGACGCCGAGGATTCAGATATTGGCTAAGGCAACAAGGGAGTGCCTTGAAACTGAGAAGATACGACGCACGGGTTCTTTTTAGCGGTAAACGTGCAAACTTGTGTCTTTTGATGGTTAAAGCGGACTAGATTTAGGCGCCCCAGTCCGAGACTTTATTCAACAAAGTCTCGACTTCAGACACAAGTTTGTCCTGGTACTCAACGACGTTTTCCTGAGAAATATTGGCACGGCCGGTGTATAAAGCATCACTTAGCTCTGTCGTCCGCATAGCACTGAATGTTACTGGTTCGCAACATATCATGCAGAGGAAACAGCGTTGCTGAAAGCACGCAGCCTGGTTCATTGAATGAATGATGTTCTCTGAGTTTGCCTTAGCAATGGCACTGTTGAAGGACCTGTAGGCGGAATTATACTTATTTTTAAGAGCGCTGGTATTTGCATACCGAGACGTCAATGCGTCCGTTCAGGCCTGGTAGCACTCCTCTTTATGGCGTAATGCAATTTTGCAGGAGCGACCAAACCATGGCTGGGTTCTGCCTCCGATAGGTACACAGATGATGAAATAAAAAGTGCCATTCCCTGTAGCACCACATCAACGGCAGAATTATCAAAAACGCTGGGATCATCCGGCGAGAAGCAAACCCGGCTAGATGCAAGGGTAGGACGCAAAAAAATATCGCATCCCGTCCTAATCGGCTGGCCTATAAGTTCCGTCAGACGATTTGTTTCTCTATGATTTGTTCTAAAGCTAGTTATTTGGACGTACTTACTTTCGGAAGTATTGGCTTCAAATATCGGGATTAAGTCGGAGCGGTTCTCGCTAGGTGTCTCCTCCGATGGACTCTGCTGCTCTTCTATTTCAGACACAGATCTGCGAACAAACAAGTTTTTTTTTAAATTAAAGTCGTAAAAACGGACTACAATGATCTATTATTAACTTATATAGGTAAGTACATACTGCTATTGATAACGTCGTTATGTCATTATTATCATAAAATGAAGCCTAAAAATTGAATGACTAATTTTAGGGTATTACAACCCATGTTCATAAAGTGTTCCTAGAGTGATAATGAACCACTATAATTTTTATATAATTTTTTTTAAACGGAATAGTGTCATAAAAATTACTTTTAACCTGTCGCTTTAAATTTTCGCTTGAAAACGCTAGCCGCCATGCTGTTCAACTCGTGAAGTCACTGTCCAAGAATTATGACGATTTTGCAAAGGAATAAGATACTTTTTAATTTTTAATAATGAGTTATCATCTATATCAATGTAGTGTTGAGCCTGTTATATGCAAAAATACGAGCATAAGAACGCTGGGAAAGTTATGGATTCAAGTGCCAACTGATTTAAATATAAGATATACTTGGTTAAAACAGGCAAGAAGATACCCAAATACATTGTCTAAACTTGACTATTCGTCTGTGAGATCATTTTGATGAAAGTATGACTTATATTTAACTATCGTTTATACAGAACAAAACATCATGAGGTGAAGAGTATCGCAGATCAAATTTTGTAAATAATTAAGTTAACTTAGATATTATAACTAATGATTGCTTATGATTGTAATTATAGATAAACTAAACTATGATAGCTACTAAACATGTTTTATCAAAATATAATCTGACCTGGTATTGTGTTTTTGTATAAACTAAAGTTGGTAATAGGAATGTTAAAACATCAATGTAATGTTTTAACATTCCTCAACACAACAGAACAAAAATTAGGATTGCATGCAAAAAATTTTGCCACCATCTATTTATTTATCCTTGGTAGATTATTACTTTCTGCTTTTACGAATTCGTCTTCCATGATCCCTTTTCAGAGTTTGAGGTATACCTGATAAAACTAACTAACTAGATTGTACAACCAGTGCGTGTTGCCAGTGATGACTTACGGATCTGAAACATGGTCCTTCACTGCTGGCCGTATGTGGACGCTCAAAGTTGCTCAGCGAGCTATGTAGAGGGCTATGCTCGGAGTTTCCCTGCGTGATAGACTCAGAAATGAGCATATCCGCAGTAAAACCAGAGTGACCGACATAGCCGAACGGATTAGTAATAAGCTGAAGTGGCAATAGGCCGGCCATATAGCTCAAAGAACCGATAACCGATGGGGAAGAAAGGTTCTCGAGTGGCAGCCTCGTACCGGTAGGCATAGTGTAGGTGTAGGGCGACCCCCCACTAGATGGAATGACGACCTGGTAAGACATGCAGGAAGTCGATGGATGTAGGTGGCTCAGGACCGTGCTTTATGGCATTACTTGGGTGAGGCTTATGTTCAGCGGTGGACTTGTGAAGGGCTGTAATGATGATGATGATGATGATGATGATGCCTTTTCAATAAAATTCGGAATAAAACACAATAATCGTAATGATAAGTTGAAAAATTTCGAAATAACAGCACATTAGCTCTCTCTTAATCAGTGACACAGAACACTAATATCCTTAGGTGGGATCAGTAACGTCACGAGTGTAATATGGCGGACAGCGTTTTGTGGATTTGATGCACAGTCAAAAAATATTCTTAAAATCGGAATATAAAATTTATAATGCAATTTTATAAATAGAAATCAATATTTTTTGGTTACTTTTTACAAAATCTATCATAAATATGTATTTTTTTACATGATGTAAAATTAAGGTATTTTTTAATGATTACATACATACGATTTCAACTTAAAAATCTAGCTACTTGTAAAACTTATTTTTATCACTATGATGTTTTATTGTCGTCTTGATAGAATAAAGCCTAAAAACTAGATATCTGTACACTAATCATATAATGTTTAATAAAACCGTGCCCTATCCTATCCTATCTGACAGGTATAGGTACTAAAGTTTGTTTCTTATTAAAATAGTAATGACAACTGTAAGTCACCAATAACTCTTCAAGTAAGTGAATTTTGCACTTTCTACTTAATAAATCATATTAATCTTTTTAAGTTTAAAGGACACAAAATTAATCACTAAACATGAATCACATCTCTGATACAGACAGTAGCTACAAGCGTTTGCGGGAGGCGTCTAGCTGAATTGAATTATACCTTAAAAGGCTGAATTAATGAAAAAGGGCTTTATCTTCAAAATGATTGAGACATAATTTATTTAGTCACTAATTGAGGTTGTGCGAAGAAGGAAACTAGCATATCGCACAGTGGTGTAAGTGGCTTATAGTTTGACGGCATCTGTTTACATTGAAACAATCAAATCAAGAAAATATTTTTACTGAATTCAAGTAACCTTCTTTGATATAATATTATTACACAGGTGAGCCAAAAGTAAAAAAATTACTTTAAACACAAAAAGGATTAGAGTGATATGCCAGCATGAACTTTTCCTTTCATACACAATGTCGATGTTTACAAGAAAAAAGTGAATAGGCTTCTTATAAAATGTTAGGATTTGGCATCCAAAGCGGACAGCATCGTTACTTACTGCGGGGACTTTAGACAAGCACTGTACCTTATGAAAGAGCGCTGTGCGCTGGGCAATGGAGCACTGGCGCTCGCGTGTGCGTGCGCGTGCGCAGTAAATGGCGGGCGACGCAGCAATGCAACGATGTGCGAGATGCAGTGCAGCGCTCTCGCCACCACGGCCACCTGCCAGCAGCAATCAGAATGTTCACAACACCGAGGTTTCTTTAAAACGTTACCTCCACACATATGCATCTAATTATTTATTTCATTAATAAAATTCATACAAAATTATGGTTGTAGCCGACCGCTCCTACCGCGGTAGGAACATCATCATCATCATCATTACAGCCCTTCACAAGTTTACTGCTGAACATAGGCCTCCTCCAAGAAACGCCACAAAGCATGGTCCTGAGCCACCTGCATCCATCGACTTCCTGCATGTCTTACCAGGTCGTCACTCCATTTAGTGGGGGGTCGCCCTACACTACGCCTACCGGTACGAGGCTGCCACTCGAGAACCTTTCTTCCCCATCGGTTATCGGTTCTTCGAGCTATATGGCCGGCCCATTGCCACTTCAGCTTACTAATCCGTTGGGGTATGTCGATCAGTCTAGTTTTACTGCGGATATCCTCATTTCTGAGTCTATCACGCAGAGAAACTCCGAGCATAGCCCTCTCCATAGCTCGCTGAGCGACCTTGAGCGTCCTCATACGGCCAGCAGTGAAGGACCACGTCTTTGATCCGTAAGTCATCACTGGCAACACGCACTGGTTGTACACTTTAGTTTTCAGAGATTGAGGTATACCTGACGAGAAGATATGTCGTAATTTCCCGAACGCTGCCCAGCCGAGTTGAATCCGTCGATTGACCTCTCGGTCGAAGTTGGACTTACCTAGTCGGACTATTTGTCCCAGGTAAACGTACTCGTCAACAACTTCGAGCATAGTGCTCCCCCACAACTACCGGCATAGGTGTGACATGGACATTGAACATAATCTTTGTTTTGTCCACGTTCATCTTAAGACCTATCCGTTGGGAGAAACCATTGAGGTCATTGAGCATAGTGCTAAGGTCCTCCAGCGATTCTGCCATAAGGACTATAGCGTCGGCAAATCGAAGGTGAGTGATGTACTCGCCATTGATGTTAATACTGTATCCTTTCCAGTCCAGTAGCTTGAAATCGTCTTGCAATGCAGCGGTGAAGAGTTTCGAGGTTATAACGTCACCCTGTCTTACACCTCTCTGCAGTTTGATAGGTTTCGAACTCTGGTTCTGTACTCGGATAGCCATCGTAGCCCTACTTTACAAACACTTTAGCACCTCGATATACCGACAGTCAACTTGGCACCGCTGAAGGGACTGTAGCACCGCCCAAATTTCAACAGAATCAAAGGCTTTCTCATAGTCCACATACGCCAGGCAAAGTGGCAGATTGTACTCCTTGGTCTTCTGTACAATCTGCCGCAGGGTATGTATGTGGTCTATGGTACTGAAGCCTTTTCGGAAACCGGCTTGTTCGGGAGGCTGGAAGTCGTCGAGTCTGCGTGCGAGACGATTCGTAATGACTCTCGAAAACAGCACGTAGACGCGGCTCAGAAGGGAAATCGGTCTTTAGTTCTTCAAGAGAGCGTTGTCGCCTTTCTTAAAGAACAAGATCACCGCACTTCTGCTCCACGCCTCCGGAGTAGTGCCACCATGGAGGACGGAATTGAAGAGCTTCTGAAGGACTTCAAGTACCGGTGTTCCACCCGCTTTCAGAAGCTCCGCTGTAATTCCATCCTTGCCTGGGGCCCTGCCGTTTGGAGAGCCATTCTAATCTTGCTCAGACTCACGTCCGGGATATCATCGGAATAGTGTCGGGTAAGACTTGCTCTTGTATCGTTACTCACACTTGCGTGTGGCTCCAACGATGATGTGTACAGCTGCCCATAGAACCTCTCAATCTCACTCAAAATCTTAGGTGTCCCGGAAACGATGCTGCCACACTCAGTCTTCAGCTTTGACAGTTGGCTCTTTCTGGCAGACAGATCTCTGGCAAAGACTTTGGAGCCCTGGTTCCGCTCGATCGCTTCTTTAATACGAGCAGTATTAAAGTTGCGTAAGTCTCGACGCATGCATTTGGAGATCTGTCTGTTCAGTTGCCTGTATGCTGTCAAATCTGTTGACGATTGCAGCCTCATCTCCTGTCTAACAGCCATGAGATTAAGAGTGTGATCGGAGAGTTTTTGTGTTCTTCTGCGGCGGGTCTTGCAGAACTTGCTCCGACCGCATGGACAGTTTCCACGAGCTTGTCATTCATATCGTCCACTGCATTGCTATCTTCTAGGCACCGAAAGCGGTTACGTAACTCGAGCTGAAAAGTCTCGGGATTCTGGATCAGAGCACGAGGGGGACGGAGCGATGACTTGCATTAGACGAGACCTCTCCAACTTAACGTTTAGGTTCAGTGTGCCTCTAACCATTCGGTGATCGCTGCCGGTTTTCACCCTTGCGATCACTGAGACATCACTGAACAATTGGCGTCTGGTCGTCATAAAGAAGTCAATCTCATTTTTTGTGGAACCGTCGGGGCTCGACCAGGTCCACTTCCTGTGGGGCCGCTTCTGGAAGAAAGAGTTCATCATAAAGAGTCCCTCTTTCTCCATAAAGTCAGCCAGCTGCTGGCCCCTACGGTTGCGTTGCCCTACTCCAAATTTCCCTAACTTCAGCTCACCGCCTTCTCTTGTGCCTAGTTTTGCGTTGAAGTCTCCCATCAATACCGTGTAGTGGGTTTTGGAGGAATGCATGGCTCTAGAAATATCCTCATACATTTCCTCCACCTCCTCATCGGGATGTACCGAGGTTGGTGCGTAAACCTGTAGGACCTTCAGCGAATACCGTTTGGTGATTCTGAGTATCAGGTACGCGACCCTCGTCGACACACTCCCAATCTTTACAACGTTGTTGACGAGAGACTTGTGGACGATAAATCCGACACCTCCTTGGGACAGATGGTCGCCCTCCCGGTGATAGAACAAGTTGCCGGACTCGAGGTTTACCGTGTCCTCCTCCCCCTCTCTTCGGACCTCAGATAATCCAATAATATGCCAGCGCAACTTGTCTACCTCTTCTTCCAGCTCCAGTATCTTCTCGTCAGTCCTCAGGGTGCGTGCGTTATACGTTGCCAGGTCGAGTCGTCGTAGGTGGCAACCGAACCTCCACCGGAGATTCTTAGCACCCCCTGCCCCGCCGTTAGCGTGGTCGCCACCGTAGCCAGAAATAGCTGGGCCGCCGGGGACTGGGGGCCGTTTATTTGTGTCGTTGCTCATGGGGGGATATTTGCCATAGTTGCCGCGCTTGGCGAGCGGGTTGGCAACCGCAGTTTTTTATTATGTTATTGTTGTTATTAGGAAGGTGCTGCTGCCCATCTCCTTTCTGTCTCCCTCTGTCGCCTCTTACGACACCCACGGGAAGATATGGGGTAGTGGATATTCTCAACCGCCACTACACGGCAACCGGAGACCTTTTTTACTGGAAAAGAGGCATTTCATCTTCACCTCAAAGGTTAACAACGCATCTGCATTTTGATTCTTAATCGAGGATAAATATAGATGTCTATGGGCCACGGCATCCACTTACACTTCACCTACCGGTACGAGGCTGCCACTCGAGAACCTTTTTCCCCTACGGTTGTTGGTTCTTCAAGCTATATGGCCGGCCCATTACCACTTCAGCTTACTAATCCGTTGGGCTATGTCGGTCACTCTAGTTCTAATGCGGATATCCTCATTTCTAAGTTTATTACACAGAGAAACCACGAGTATAGATAGCCCTCCCCATAACTCGCTGAGCAATCGTGAGCATCCCCATAAAAGCCAGCAGTGAAGGACCACGTCTCAGTTCCATAAGTCTAATGCAGCCGACTGTTTTTAGCTGTTCCTTTTAGGTAGATTTTAAAAAATTTGTAGTGTGAAAAAATATATTTAGAGGTGTGATTTTTAATCGTTTTTGATAGAATGTCGTATTGTTATGCAAATAAATTATAAGCCTTTTTATAAGCATAATAATAGTTTCATAATCCGTACCCTTTAAGTACTGGAAAAAGGCAAACAATTTTGAAATAAAAATGATACTATCTATAAAATTAGAATTGCACTGATACATTTACAATTAAATAGTTTAATTCATAATGATTCGATACGTATAATTTTTATATATAGCTGTGCACATGACGGCTTTAAAAATAATACAGGTCCCAGCGAAAAGTTCAACAGAATCATACCAGTACCAAATCGTATTGCAATATTTGTTCTGTAATTAAATAGCAATTTTGCACCGCTCTAGTTTAAAAAAATCGCGCGAGCGGCGCAAACTTGTCCACGGCGCAATAGTTTTTAGTTTACCGTACTGTACCGTTGGTAATGATTACCTCTATTGAAAGATAAATAATATCAACCATGTATTTATTATCATCATCATCATCATCACCATTACTGCCCTTCACAAGTCCACTGCTGAACATAGGCATCCACCACGGAATACCACAAAGCAAGGTTGTCAAGCCACCTGCATCTATCGACCTCCTGCATATCTTACCAGGTCGTCCCTCCGTCTAGGCGGGTCGCCTTACTCTTCTCCTACCAGTACGAGCTTGCCACTCAAGAACCTTTTTTCTCCATCGGTTGTCGGTTAATTTATAATAACTGTTATTATAGCTTTGGTTTAACTTTAAAAAAAAATTTGTGATAGTCAAAACTTGTATATTTTCTGGGACTGGTGTAAAAGAGTACGCACATTGCCCAATAAATAACTTATTGTCTCACCATACTGCGCGAATGACCAAAAAACCTTACGTTGAATTTATGTGGTTAGCAGGTGTTTCATTAGTCGATAAAAATTGTACACACTTTTTCCTTCTAAAGGCCTAAATATAGGCCTCCCCCAATGAATTCCACAAGGCACGATCTCTAACCACGTGTATTCAATGAAGGCATCCACGACTTTTCCTGTCACCAAAGCAGCGGCGCTTCTTTGGAATGAGGTGATTTTTTTTATTTGAGATTTCATCGCGTGAGAAGTTAGAACATGTGTGACAGGCGAGCACTCAGCCCACCCGATAATATGAGGAATCGGTGACCCATAGATATCTACATCTATCCCCGATTCAGAATTAAAATACAGATGCGTTGTCGCCCCTGAGCAATAATAACATGGAATACCTTTTATCCAGAAAAAGAAGCGTCAGGTTTTACTATGCTATTTACGCTGGTCATCCGTGAGAGCGTGGTTCTTTCCGGTCGAGCCAACAAGCCAACTCATACGTGCTAACCATAATATAGTTGCAATATGGCTATACCCTGTATCAGCCCTCGTTAGTCGTAAACTGTATAATTAGTACAATTGAGGGCAACGCTTCTATTATATATAATGCATAGTCCAACTTAGTTCCAATGTAGGTGTCTACGAGACAGGGTGCAACCATTAAAGTAATATGTACCACGTCCTTGAACTAGAAGAGATGCTGAGACACGCGTTAGAGTCCACTGACTCGTACTTACTTAGTCTGTGGCATAAATAGGTACTCTGTGGCTTCTACCACGCGTCACGCACGGCCGTACAGATTGTGTTCGCGGTGTCTGTTCTAGTACGGAGTACGTAATACTTAAATGGGTGCGATACCAGTGGACGCTACGTGCCTGATCGTGGTCGAGGCGCAGATCTACTGGCGGCGTGTCGGCGTGCAGGTGCAGGCCCAGCGACACCAGGGGGCCCGTCGCTGTCACCGCTTTCGGAGCCGCCTTTGTCTGCTTCATTGCAATACATGTTAATACCCCCAAAAAAATAGCGACCTCCCTTTGCTTGTTTATTTTTGACGTGAATAAATCTTTAAATTTACTTCCATAGTGTGAGGCAATAAATAACAAAATCGGGAAATACAGTTTGGTGTTGCATCTACATATCTATTACCTACATTCAAAACTTAATTACAATACTTCATAGCCTAAGTATCGAAGAATTCGGTTGGTTATTGGGAACTGTGACAGAGGATTTTATTCTTTGTTAGACGGTCCTCGATGGACATGAACCACACCTATTGTTAGAAGGCTCGTTATCGCTATAAACGTATCATCATCGTCATCATCGTTGTAGCTTATCATAAGACCCCTGTTAAACATAAGCCTCCCCATAGCTTATCTCTTTGGACACCATCTCACTCCACTACTGTGTGCACTATCATCATTCTTTCATTCATAAAAGTCAATCAGAAAACCTATGCTGAACAAGTGCCTCCGAATAGATATCCTAATGAGAATGATATGTGCCATAGTTGCCATGTTTGACGAGTGGGCTGGTAATCCCAGTCTTTATTTTTATTTTTTGATGTTATTAGGAATACCACGGACCATCTACTTGTCTGTTTCCATTCGCCACCTCTTACGACAGCCACGTGACGACGTGGGGCATTGGATATTCTTACACCGCTACTACACGGTAATAGACGTCTCAGACGTATCATTGTTCAGACGTTGCTTTGTTTTATAAATCTCTCAAGCATTTCCTAGTCGTCTCTCACGAAACCCATCTTATACATTTTATTACTTTTTTAGTGTGCTATAAAATTTATAATTCTATAATCTGTCTCCCTAGACCTTATCATATCAAAGATTAGTTCGGGCACCAGTAAGTTTGAACGAGTCTCTGTGTTAAAATAAACTTTTGGATTTCTACTATATCCTCCACACAATTTTAACTTCTCACAGTAACCTTTACCATCGGTAGGCGCTTGAGATTAACCATGATTACATCAAACAAACAATCATTTAAAAGTTATCGTAAACATATATCATACTGCACTTTGTTATCAAAGAAACATAGTAATAATTTAACTAAGTATTTAAATCAAACTTGTCAACTAACGATAGTCACTTAGGCTACTAATAACACTGAACGGTCCCGGCAACAGCAACAGCCGCATCCTTCAGCGCCCGATATGGCCAGTATTTGCTTGCAAATCCATAAATAGGATGACAATAAATAACTAGCTCTACTGTCAAACAGATTAAGGAAACTAATAATTCTCACTTTTACAACTGTAATAAACGAAGCGTTACGTTCAGTGGCTATATCGTGAAATAAATTTATGATAAATATATTGATTAGTTAAGTAAAAACAAAACGAATTATTTTAATTTACATATTTTATATTGCTGTGACCTCATAATATACTTGCCACAATAACTTCTAACAACAGAGTTCCCATTTAGTATGGGAACATAATAAACTGAATCTGGATGGATACTTTAAAATAGTACTCACCTCGGGGCTCGATCGTTTATGCCTGTAAAAGGAACACATATTAGACCAATAGAAAACACGGGCAAAATTAAATTTACTTTCAATCGAACATACATACTTAGTAGGGCCTCGAACGAATTCTTTTAATGTCGACGGCCTAAAATCTATGCCGCTTGTGAAGTATTTTATTTTCTGTGAAAAGTAAAGACTAAGTTTACTGCTTCGACTAATCAAACTAAGATCTAATAAAAAAAATTATAAACTATTTAATTCTAACTGGTTATTTAATCAAGGATGAAATGTAACATATACTTAGCTTAAGTTCTAATGATTCTTTTTTTTTTTAAATAAATACATTATAACTTTAGGGATTTTTAATCTGTAAGAGTTGTGTATGAAGTTTTTAATTGAAATAAATAGATGACATTTTAGCTTGTGCTCATCCTAAAAAAACAACTTCAATAAAGTAAAAAGAATAAAATATTTTCAAATACTGAAGTCGAATATAAATACTTCTAAACAAGCATGTTTTACCACTAACTTTGGTAAGTGAAATATTTTATTTTTGGTTTTTGTTTTTAAAGTCAGATTTTACTTTTATTACTAGTTTAATTTTATTTCCAAGAGCAGATTCTAGTGAATCATGAAGACACCGCCTTAATGAAACCCTGGATGCTTCGTTTAGAGATTAAATTACTTAGTACCACTTAAGTACCTTTGCTCGGGGTTGACTGAGAAAGAGAATGGTTATAGGCTCAATTCCACTTTTTGTAATTATTTGGTCAAGATGTAAGCAATGAAACGTAAATAAATAGACAAGCTATGTAAACGATTTAAATTAAATTTTGAAGAAAGTCAGAAGCAGCAATAATTGTGTAATTCACGTAATTGTATTATGGAATGGTACCTCGTCGTGCTGCTTCTCGTGGTGGTGGCGAGGCGGCTGCGGTGCGCGCATCGGCAGCGACTTGCTGAGCACGGACAACGTGACCGTGGTGGTGAGCAGCGCCAGCACAGCACGTGGCTCCACCCCCGCCCCGCGCAGCGACGACCGCACCCCGCCACCGCCGCGCACACACAGCGTGTAGCACGACACGTCCGCTATGAGCAGCTTCCACGGAAACGACTCCACACCCGCTACGCAGTACTTTTTTTTATTAATTAACTAGCTTTTAGACGCAACATTATCCGCGTGAAAATTCAACAAAAAAAATCTTAACCTCTTTATAAATTATTGCAGATTATGTATTGCTGAATCATACATATAAATTTAACAAATAAACACTTCTGAACATTAAGAAAACTCGAATTTTTGAGGTTTTCCCAGAATCTACCGTGACGACGTCAAAATTCACAGAAAATCTAAGTTTAGCGAGGCCCTTTCAGATGCCGCAAACCGCTTTATGATCGGGCACTGCATGACAAAATTATGAGATGTACACATGTTTACATACGTACATCCACACACGCACGCACGCACGCACGCACGCACGCACGCACGCACGCACGCACGCACGCACGCACGCACACACACACACACACACGCGCGCGCGTGCGCGCGCACACGCACACAGACACCGAATAGCCTTAATGGTATACGGAAATATACACATACATATGGCTAAGCCAGAATAGCTTCTGGGTCCTCGAAACGTCGAGATCTGATGAAAACTCGATTACAAAAATAGGGGTGAAAACAATAACTTCCTGATTTATTGAAAATCATTAGTTTTCATAGAGCGAAGTTAGAAAAGCTATTTAGCATCAAAATTATTCTCGATTGAGAATCAAAGTACAGATACGTTACCACCATATGATGACTAAAATGGAATGCTTTAATACCAGAAAAAACGGTACACTCACTACATGAAACAAACAGCATTACTCTGCTGTTTCATGCTGGCATTTTGAGAAGTGTAAGGACTTTTTGTGTAAAATTTCAATCAAATAAGTTATTTATTTCCGTGTCTTTCGTATAGGATGCCAAGAGCACAATCGTCTTACTCTTTACGAATATTTAAACACTTCTATTTATGTGTTAATAGTATGCGGAGAACCCCCGGCCAAAGAACAGTTATTTTTAAATTACAAATAGATATCTCAATTTTATTTATTATCCTAAAGCCTTTACTCTAAATGATCACTCAAACAAAAACACAATATTAAGTGTTAGAAATATACAATGTGTACAATTTATATTTATTGTAAGACTATTTCTATATTTATGTATTTTGTCCTCCTCTAACTCCTCAGTTTCAAGGCATTGCCCTTGTTGCCTCAGCCAGTATCGGAATCCTCAGCGTCCACATATCGAGTGACGTGCAGTTTAGTGGTCACTTGGAAGAGAAGGCCAAATTGGCCTCTAAAAACCTTGGCGTGCTCAGCAGAGCGGGACAGTACTTCATGCCAACACACCGCCTGCAACTTTACAAGGCGCAGGTTCGGCCGCACATGGAATGCTATTCCCATCTCTGGGCTGGGGCTCCCCAGTGCCAGCTCCTTCCACTTGACCGCATACAGCGCAGAGCGGCTCGAATCGTCAACGATCGAGTGCTTTCCGATCGGTTCGATTCACTGGTGCTGCGTAGAGATGTTACATCTCTTTGTATTTTCTTTCGCAAATACCACGGGGAGTGCCCTGAGGAATTTTTCAAATTAATCCCAGCCGCCAAATTTCGTGAACGCACTACGCGGTAAAAGTCCCGATACCATCCACATCATCTGGATGCTTGGCGGTCCACCACTGTATGTTCACAAGGAGTTTTCTTCCGCGTATGACCTCTCTGTGGAATAGTTTACCACCGGCGATTTTTCCGGACTGATGCGACCTAGGGACCTTCAAGAAAAGAGCTTACCGGCACTTTCGCACCTGCAATTTCCCTGGTCCCTAGATCATGGGCGGCGGGTAGTCACTTAACATCAGGTGAGCTGTATGCTTGTTTGCTCCCTCTTCTATTAAAAAAATATGTACTCACAGCTTTGATTCGTTGAGAGGAAAGTTGGTCCATCGTGCCGGATTTCATTCCATAGATGCTTTACCATTGCGTTTGAGTACATTGAGAAGCGTCCCAGACTAAACAAACAAATTGATCATGATTAAGCACGATGATGAAATTGCATGTAAAAATGAACATCCTAACTAAAAAAATCTTATATCAATTATTTTTTTACAAAAAGCAATTAGAATTTCTATTCCAAATTTATCAAAATGACAGGTTGTGCGACAACTTTCAAACAATAGCTATCCACTTCGCATTAGATAATAAAGTACTATACGTTTAGTTACTAGGTGGTAGAACTCGTTATCCGTCCCGTGTAGATCACGCTATTACGTATTTCTTTCTTCAAACAGCAATGCCTGCATTTGTTATTTCTTTGAAAGATATTGAAATGGTCGATTCGGCCTAACAAAAAATGTAATCCTGATCGTTTACAAAGGCAAGATTATTACTGTCGGGAGACAATAATAATCACAAATGACTAAATACTACCTCGGTTGTATTACAACATGTCACAAATGACTCTAAATATTACCTCACTTAGAAGCCGGCTGATTAGCTTACCGTATCACGGAAGCGAGTTAGTATAGTTGTAAGCATAGGTGCGTGCGTACCTGAGAACGAGCACTGGTTGGTCTACGGCGTGTTTCTCGACGGCGTCACGGACCCCGGCGGCGGGTAGCGCAGGGACGCTGGCATCAGGCGCGTACAGCTGCAGCAGCCCGAGCTCGCAGCACGCAAGCGCACGCCGCAGCCTCGCGTGCATGCGCACCGCATTCTCCGCGCTCCACCACCACTCCGCGCGACCGCCCCCCTCCTGCACGCACACCGCATTCAGAGTGACCGCATTACATGTACCGTTTAGTAAACAGAGTTTAAATTAGACCAATGAAAGAGTACGCAACAATCTGGTAGTCGTTAAACAATTCATAATAATTTCAGAAGAGACACTGCAGTAAGAACAAAGAATATGGCAGCAGTAAACTGAGGATGTCTTGGGAGAGTAAATAAATAATAAAACAATGTACATAATCATTATTATATATTGATGACATAAACACTTACTAACTACATCCAGTATACCGTAATTCCGTTTAGTAAGATTTTAATTTTAGACGTCACGTCGTTAGAGTTTACATCGTATTCAGTGTTTATGCTGTTATATTATTTGATTCAAATTGCAACGTAGCAAATAAGGTTGTATGCAGTACTTGAGCTTATTTAGTTTATAGTAAAGTAAAAAAACAAATTCGTTGTTCCAAAAACATCCGTACATAACTGTTGCCATATATGTTTCTTCTTTTACTTTTTGCATAAAATGAAACACAAAAAATTGTTAATAAAAACAAAAATAAAACGGAACTATTTACCATCATCATAAGTCAATTATAGCGAGTAATAACGAATTATTATTATATTCCCAAAAATAATTATATTGTGTGGTATTGTTAAGAAAATCCATCACTCCATTTCGTACCGACGTATTAAAAGGTATGGGAAATGCTATAAACTTATGTCGCCAAACGTAAAATAACTAAACCAGTGACGAGCAGCAGAGTGTAAGGTGTAAGACACATTATACTATTACTCTCTATCGACATGTGAAGAACGTCTGATATTGCGCTCTTTATTTATTATTCGCCTTCCAAGTGTAACATTTAATCAAGTCCGATAACCGGAGAGATGCATTCCCATTAATGGATTTTCACGAATTAATGATGAATAAGAAAAACTAAATACTAATTATTTGCTGATCACTTACGAATACAGGATTCAAAAGAAACATAACTAGTATAGTAAGAGGAAATTTAATAACTGATATCAGGATAGAAGAGACCGATGTATCAATACACATAACGCATTGTAAGACCGAGTTTCAGAGTTTGTAAATAGGTACACTACAGAAATATTGTAATGTTTTAGTATATCTGTATAGAAATAATGCATAAAGAAATATATAATAAATAACGCGTTGGTATAACGAATAAAAGAAGGATATTATATTATGATTTATTTTAACAAACGAGTACCAAAAATTTTGATTGTGTTGTTATTGGTCTACGTAATCAACATAGAGTCCGTTTCGCACAGTTACATGCACACTCAGTTGACTCAGCGACTATCTGGCGTCGCACGTGTTTATTGAGTGAACCAGAAGATATTGTTTGTGGTATAATGTTATATATTTGTGTCATAAATTTGATGAAGTTCGAAATCTTTTGTTACAAGGAGTAGCTAAAGCGGATAGCCGAAATTGGTTGTCCTGTGATAACCAAGATCGAAACAAAAATGTACGATAATAATATAGAAAATATGTTAAAGCAGCTTATTATTCTCCTGTGATGACGATAGTTTCACGTAGATAGTTAGTTTCAGATAGATAGATGAAACTCCTTTCCATTAAGTCATCATGCGTGACGTGAAAACCAGATGAGGACGCGGTGTTGGTGCTAGAAGTGGCCATTTCACGTCGTCGTCGCTGTCGTCACTCGAGCTTGCATCCTCATCTGAGTCGGAATCATGATCCCCTATGTGGATAGCAAATGTTTCTGTCATCATGTCCACCACATGATCGCTTTTACAGTAATCAGCCTCTATTTCTTTTACCTTCGTGCATAGCTTCCCCCATTCTGTTGCTCCCATTAAATTTACTTTTTCATGAATCAACTCAGTTATACGTGTCAGGTTCCAAGTTACATTTTTACAGGCAACATAACTTTTTATTTGGGACCAGGCCATTTCAATAGGATTCAGGTCCGGGTGATATGGGGGCAAACGAAGTACAGAATGTCCTGCTTCGTTCAAAATAGCATCGATATTAAAGGACATCATCTTTTTGGTCCAAATATGAAAGTGCCGGCCAATAAAAAAATATGCTGTATTCCGTTAGAGCTTGTCCCCCTGAGTATTTATTATTATGACACCAAAGCTGTAGGGTCATTGTCCTTGGTTTTATTGGAGTTCAAAAATTCAACATCTTCATACATTTTCAGTGAATTTAATAAACAAAAACAAATGATTTGTTCTACCATATTTTTATTTTGAACATCGTTTAGTAAAAAATATATTGGTTCTTGACCTATTTCTGACAAGATAACATTTAAACCACTAATATTACTGCATAATCGGCTGGGATGCCGGGACTTTTTCCTAGAAAATGGCAATAACAATGGCCGCGCAGGTAAACACTCACGCGAACAATGGAATACGGTGCAGCGAGCAGATGCCCCTATCTTTCCCGCGAACTACCGCCATCGCGCCAGGCTCATTCATTTGCTAGCATTCGCGTTTATTGTTTAGTACCGAAAGCAACGCTGCCGTGTATGTCTGTGTGATGCCCACTAGTTCTTGTGCTTTGATTTGTTTTATTTTTGTTATCTCCGTTGTTAAGTTTGAACATTGCTGCGAGTCATGGCAGAGTTGTGTATCGCGTGCCGTGCATCGACAGAGAATCGGCGAAAATATGATTGGGTTTCCAGAGAAATGCAATATCTTTATATCGCCCAAATAGTGATAGAAGATATAGTAGCTCGACAGTTGGAGCCTACTGCGTTCGTTTGTCGACCCTGTTGGCAAAGAACGGAACGAACGCACCAGCGACTTATTCGGAAGGCTGAACAGCAAGCTGATCAAGACCGTGATCCATCGGAAGTTCCAAATTCAAGACCAATTTCGCTGATTTTGCCAGGTCTTCTTCGTGCTCCAAACACCGCAAATAGTTGCATTTTCCTACATTGTACGAATGAATCTCGCCGTCGTGTTCCAGAGAACATAATTTTTCGCATGGTATGCCGCTACAGCTATTTCGTGCCAGAAAGCGGGCGTGTCTGTAATGAACACGTGGAGCAAAATCTGTGGCATTTACTTCCTGTACAAGACAACTCTTCTGAGGAATTCACTGCAGCTCAAATAATGACTATCGTGTCGATGTTACAAAGACATATTACGGAGGAAATACTTGATTTTGAGCAGTATGAAAATATAGCACCAGCCGAGTTTCATACTTGGACAGGACTGACTCAAGATCAGTTTACTGAATTATTAGACAGTTTACCAAGTCTGAGAACTAAAAAGAATAAAAGAACCGTACTGGCGGCAGTATTAGTCAAGTTAAGAACAGGTGACTCGAACGCGCGGCTTGCTAATTTTTTTTAAATGTAGCGAAACAGCGTTTCATACGAGGTTAAAAATCAGACGCAACGCTCTGTTAGAAGATTTTGTGCCCTTAAATGTTGGGTTTGTCCATATTTCCCGTGAGGATGTTGGCACGTACATCTATCTGCAAAAAAAGTGGAAATTATTTTTTCCAACGCAAGTCTTACAGCCATCACAAATACAGAAACCTCCTAAAACCGTTCCTCTTGGTTTCTTGTGATGGACACATTATCGAAGTTAACGGACCATATGCTGCCACCACGTCTGACGCAGATATAATGAATGATATGCTTAATAATGCTGACAGTGCCTTCCACTGGTTTTATAGGAGTAGCGATAATTTTATTCTGGACCGTGGTTTTCGAGACTCAGCAAGAAATCTGGAATCTTGCGGATACGTACAACATATGCCTCAAACAAAGTATCCAAATGAGACACAGCTAACCACGGATCAGACCAATAAGTCCAGACTGGTAACAATCTGTCGTTGGGTGGTTGAAGTGGTCAACGGCAGGTTCAAAAGAGATTTTCGCCTGTTGCGAAATGTATATAATAACAGAGTTCTTCCCAGCATGTTCGACTATTTCAAGATAGCAGCGGCGATGATAAATCGTTTTTATGTTTTGATTGAAGATAATCCAAATGCTGCTGCGATTTTAGAGATTATCCACCAAAGAATTAATATGCAAAATAGATTGGCAGATCTTGTAATACGCCATAACTACAATCGCAGACGTGCTCAGTTTACTTTAATGACTGCAGATATGCCAGAGTTTGTAGATTTTCCAAGAATGGATGAGAATGAATTATTATTATTCGCTCTGGGCGTTTATCAACTAAAACAGGCCAAAAGCTATTACGGTGAGCACGTCCTTGACAATGGAGCATTCACAATTGAGCTCAGCAATGAGTTATGAAATGAAGACTTGGCGGAATTGCAGGGCAATGATTTATGGATGATAAGAGGCCGACTGCAATCGCGGCATGTTAGAGCAAGACAGTATTATGTCTACATTATAATCGATAGGTCGTTATCAGGCCGACAAGCAATCGCTCACTATTATTGTTCGTGCATCATAGGAAAGCGAACAATTGGATGCTGCTCCCATATTATGTGCATTATATGGTATATGAGCCATGCACACATTTGCCAGCAACAACCCCTCCAGCTTATGGATTGGAGAACATTATTGTTGTACCAGACGATGATGATTTTATAGTGTTTAATTAAACAAAATAACCCCTGTATACATATTTTACTTATAATCCTCAAAAACACAAAACAAGATCAACATGTCCAAAATAGGTCAAGAACCAATATATTTTTTACTAAACGATGTTCAAAATAAAAATATGGTAGAACAAATAATTTGTTTTTGTTTATTAAATTCACTGAAAATGTATGAAGATGTTGAATTTTTGAACTCCAATAAAACCAAGGACAATGACCCTACAGCTTTGGTGTAATAATAAATACTCAGGGGGGGGGACAAGTTCTAATGGAATACAGCATATTTTTTTATTGGCCGGCACTTTCATATTTGGACCAAAAATGTATGAAATCCCGATGATGTCATTTCTTAAATTTATCTTTGCATTTTTTTATTAAGTTGTACAACTCCGGCTTTAGCATGGTCTCTTCAAATTCAATACCTTTTTGACGAAGCCAGGTTTGCATGTCTGCTTTCTTTGAATTGGACGTTGGTGCAGCATCGAGTTGTTTATTGTGGTACGATGCATATCGCTGTTGGCGGTATATTGTGGTATCAGTTGAGTACGGAGCCACCGCTCGTAATTTTCAAAATTTAAATTGTCATGGTAGTCACCGCTTTTTGTACCGGCTTTAAACGTCAGTAAAGCATTCGGCACAAAACCTGCATCGCCACCCGCATGCACTATGACTAAGCGGCTACCTTTAGATACAGGTTTTTTAATGCCCTTGGTGGAACCGTCTGTCCAAGCATGGTGAGACGCATGGGAACTATCGACGTATGATTCGTCAGTGTAAATGATAGGTCTTACTTCCTCTCTATATTTTTTAATCTTTCTCAGATATTCAATTCTTTGAAATCGAATTTGTGACTGCTCAATTAAGATTTTTCTATTGGTTTCCGTTTTTTTCCATTTAAAACCCAAGTTTTTCAATACTCGCCTGAGACTTGCTGCAGATCCTTGGAAATGTATGTCATCCTGTAACTTCCTTTGCAACTTGCCTATGGTAGGCAATTCTTTTTCAGTAACGTGAAAATTATGGATCATTCTTTTTATAACACCCTGGTCAAAGCTGTCAATGTCTGTTATTGGTTTTGTTTTTTTTTTCTTTTATTTTTGCCGGGAGTTCGGAAAACAGTAAGAAATTCCGAATCTTTTGAACCCCTTACTATTCGTCTCATTGTCGACTCGGAACATTTTGTTGCCTCTACGGTTCGTTTCATACATTGTTTTAAATAATTAACTACATTATTATCAGCTTCCCTCTTCATAAAACAGTATACGTCATAAATCATTTTTCTCACTTCTCTATGTAAAACCATTTCGTAATTTAAAACTTTTGTGCGCGATGGTATTTTTAAAAGGAACGTAACGTGGGTACTACGCGGAAAGCAAAGCTCAACTGATGAACCAATAGCGCATCGGTAAACATGCGGCGCGTGGCTCACCCGCCCCGCGCCCTACCTCATACCACCAAGTAGACCGATAAATCGCCTATGCGCAGCTTGACCGCCAGCGTTCTTTTTACGTGACGCGTACTATACTACGTACTAGAGACACTGCATTCAGTTACTCTGTTTCACTCAACTGCGGTGCATGTACCGCACTTTATCAGTCTCTCGCTAGGCGCTTGTAGAGTTGTCACGGGTTGTGTTGATTTAAAAAAAATCTCTTGATAAAAATATACCGTCTTGTGTACTTAGATATTGCACAAATAATTCAAGAAATGTCAGTAAAAACCAAGGAATTACTTTTCATCGGTTAATAAGATACTTAATCAATAAAAAAGTATTATATATATAAATTAATAATAAAACAAATTATTCCTAAGACGCCATCTCGTATCATGGAATATAGATTATGAAATTAATATGTTCAGATGCGACATTTCTGTGGGTACTTAAGTATAGGACGAGTATATTATTATACACATTTTTTTTGTAGAAACATATATAAGTTATTATAATTAGGCTAAATTTTTCATGTTTAAATCTGTTATTCTTTTATTTCTTATTATTCTTTTATTTTATTTTTAGATTTCCACTTCAAAGTCAAAGTGGAATAAATTCGTCCATTTTTAACTCTCGCGTGCCCAGCATTTATGAACGATTATTTACAGCATTTATGATTCTAATTTAAATAAATATATTTGTAATTTAAATTTTATGTTAAAAGTTTTGTTAAACATACATTTAGTATGTTTTTTTTATATTTGACATAGATACCTTTAAAAAAATTTAAAATGTAATTGTGATATAATATTATGTAATATTATATTAAATAAACAAATATAATATACAAAATAAATGAGAAAATTTAAATATTGTTCTCGATATAATTTACCAATTTAACAATACAATCTACTATTACCTACGGATCATTCTACCTATGTTTATTCTATGATAAAAAAACCAAACGCGCGAACACAGAGTAGTGCACATTTTTTTGTTTGAGATAGCTGTTCTAGTACGTAAGTACATATTACTTCAATGACTATAGATATGTAATTAGCCGTCTATCTATTGTAATCAATATAAGGCGTTGCAAAATGTGTAAAGCAGATGTTCCAAAATAAGGCAGGTCTATGTAGGTACGCTACCTCAAAAATAAGAGAATAATCTGTAGAGTTCGGAAAAAATACAGATATGAATGTATCCTGAGATTTAAATGTATCCTGCCGTGGTCAATTGATGTTTATCAATTATTTTTATCGACTTTCAACATGGCATCTTACTGATTTAGTTACTCTGTGCTTTTATACAATGACACGTAGACAGAGAAACCGATAGACTAATGATTAGCGTGGCCTCGAGTGAGAATGGACGATAACGTAGTTTTAGGTTATACAATAATCTTTATGAATTTTAATCACATTTAGATATAAAATTAATTGTTCTAAGACTCTTTTTTCTTGCGTCTACAAATGAATAATATATAAAAATATAGTTTAAGATCCTGAACATCTTTTTCTTCGGTCATACTACTGGAAGAAGTCAGAAATTAGAGATATTTCAGTTTAAACAAAATACACATCATACTACTATGTATGGTATATACCTAGGCTGCACTAAAAGTATCGGAAATGGAATATTTCCACTGTTCCTGTCATATTAAAAGTCTTTTTAATTGAAAACTTCTTGGTTTTAAAAATCGAATATCATTTATTTATTTAAAAAAAAGATTCTCGGTCTTGTCACAAGGTTTTGTCAAACTTGTTTAGTCGTTGAGAAAATGGAATTGACTCGAGAAAATTCAAGAGCGATGATTTATTGGGACTTTCGAAGTGGTTTAACACAAAAACAGTGTGTTGACCGGATGATTTCTGCATTTGGTGATGAAGCCCCATCCAAAACCACAATTTATCGCTGGTTTGCTGAATTTCAACGTGGACGTGTCAAGCTCAGTGATGATCCCCGTCAAGGTCGTCCAAAAACTGCAGTCACGCAAGAAAACGTTGATGCTGTGCGTAAGCTGATTGAGGAAGATCGACATGTGACATACCGCGAAATTCAGGCAACTTTAGACATTGGCATGAGTCAAATACAAATAATCTTGCATGAACAATTAGGTTTAAAAAAGTTGTTTTCACGATGGATACCGCATTCGCTCTGTGGAAAGCAAAAAGCGGCTCGCGTTACTTGGTGCGTCAGAACTTTCGAAAGATTCCACGCAGGATCCTCAAATGCTGTACACAACATCGTATCAGGTGACGAATCCTGGATATATGCGTACGAACCCGAAACAAAAAACCAGTCACGAGTTTGGGTGTTCGAAAATGAGTGAAAGCC